TCCTAGGACGCCATCTTGGATGGCAAGAGGACAACTCAGGAGCACAGTGATGCCTGTTGATGAGTGCAGGGCAGAGGGTGTAGGGGTGGCCTCGAGAACATGTGGTTCCGGCTGAGCTCAGCAGAGCTCCTGTCTCTCAGCCTGGATGCTCCTGGCACAGCAGACCCTCAGAGGACACTATAAGAAGGGCCCCGAGAGCCTCTGAGGCAGAGATAGCTGTGTGCTGTAGCCAAGGCTTGGGAACAGAGCACTGCACCTCATAAAGGTCATTACACTGGCCTCCTCGAGCCTCTCGGGGGGCAACTGCTGGTCCTGCTGGGCTCATGGGTGCCCTGCGACTCATCCAGCCCTCTCTAGAGTCAGACAGGATTTTCACGCCTTGCTCACAAGTCACTGATGTTTTCTGAGCACCTGTCATGTGGGATGAGGCTCCTTCATGAAACCTTTCACTGATGCCAGGCTTGGCAGCCTGGGTGTCCTGATCATGCCTTACAGGCCAGAGTGTCAATAACTATCAGTGTGGCACACGGCCGCATGGAGTGACCACTGTGACCACAGTCTACACAGCTGGCCTGGAGTCACCCCTGGATTGTCCCTCCCCTCCCCACAATGCTTCCTTCACCTCGAAGTCCTGCTGCCGCGCCTCCCAACACGGCCTGGATCCATCCACTTCTCGCCTCAGTGATGGTACCTGCCCAGGATGCTGGAAGACAGACTCCCTGCACAAAGGCTGTTTGCAAAGGCAAACTAGTCATGTTGTCTTCCACCTTAAATGCCATGGTTTTCAGGTTAACAACACTCTGCTTAATGTGGTGAGCCTGGCCTGTCCTCGCCTCTGCCTGCTCAGATCCAGCCACCTCAGCCTTCTTACTCTTCCTCAAACAGCCTAGGTTCCTTCCTGCCCCCGGGCCTTTGCACATGCAATTTGCTCTTCCTTGAATACTTTTGCTGCCTGCTAACCCTCCCCTTACTTACAAACACAAGTATGCACGCACACACGTGTGCACACGTACCTGAACACATGCTCGGCGTACCCAGTAACATGAAACACTCAGGCCCGCATTCCTCTCCTTCAGAGGTCTGCTCATTTGTAGTTAGTTAACTGACTTCTGTCTCCCATGTTAGACTGACTACCAGGGCAGAGCTTGTGCTGTTTTTGCTCACAGGCATCCCCAGGGTTTCACTCAGTGCTGCCACATAGTCGCAGAATGAGTGGAAGACTCAGCTGAGCACTGTGGCACTGAGTGTTGATGACAATGGCCAATGGCCCAGAACGGACCCTGTGGTGAACTGCCCACCACACCCTTGTCCTCTTCCTGACACTCATCTGGACTCTACCTCCCAGCCTGCCTTGCTGTGAGCTTTGCATGTGACCAGCTCAGCCAGTGGGGTGGAAGTGGTGGTTACAGTCAGGTCACAGCCTGGTCTTGGGACTGCCCACAGAAACCATGGTGGTGGCAGATCATCACTAATCAGCATGGAAAATGCCCGTGTCAAATTTAAAAGAAACTAGCAGGAGGTCAAGTTGAACATACCACGTGAGCCCTCCTTATCCAAAACAGGACTCAGCTGTCTCGGGTGTTTGTGTAAGGAGAGAGCTCTTCACATGATAAAAGCGAGAGCACACAAGGGAGGGGTGGGGATAGGTGAGATACCTAAAAAATTAGTTTTGCATTTGTTGCCCTCAATGCAGAGAAACTAAAGCAGATACCTTAAAAGCAACTGAGGCCAATAGGAAAAGGGGACCAGGAACTAGAGAAAAGGTGAGATCAAAAAGAATTAACCTAGAAGGTAACACCCATGCACAGGAAATCAATGTGAGTCAACTCCCTGTATAGCTATCCTTATCTCAACCAGCAAAAACCCTTGTTCCTTCCTATTATTGCTTATACTCTCTCTACAACAAAATTAGAAATAAGGGCAAAATAGTTTCTGCTGGGTATTGAGGGGGTGGGGGGAGAGGGAGGGGGCGGAGTGGGTGGTAAGGGAGGGGGTGGGGGCAGGGGGGAGAAATGACCCAAGCCTTGTATGCACATAGGAATAATAAAAGAAAAAAAAAAAAGGAGAGAGCTCTTGAAGCTTGTCCTCCATGGGGCTGCCAGGTTACGAGTGTGTGGGGGAATTCCATAAGATTTTTACGTTCTTTGTCCTTCTCTGGACGAAACAATAGTTATGCACAATTTTTATTAATAAAACTGAAACTCTCTCCCCTGACATCAAAACACCAGGGTGCCTTCTGCTCCTGTGGGGAAGAGCACCCCCACTCTGGTTCCTCACGTCCTAGCCCCCAGCCCAGGAGGGGCAACCAGCTGCTGAACAGTGGGAAAGGGACAGGAACGTGCCCCAATGGCTGTGAGTTTCCAATTTCTCCTAAGTGTCTGAGCTTGAGGGGGAAAGAATGGTGCCCTTGGGTGTGTTCACGAAGACGTGCAAGAGTAAACCCACTTCCAGACCCAGTGGGCTCCTTAGAAGGCCAAATTTCCAATGGCAGTCACTGACATCCCCCACTTTTCCTTGCGCATTACGTGTGAGTGCACACGTGCACCCTCACTCACAGGGGGACTCGAAGTCACTTAAGGCACACCCCAGCCCCAGAGGGAAGTGATGAGTCCCAGCAGGCTCCAGCAGTCCATGGGGACATGCCCTCTAACAAACCAAGAGCACAGAAAATAGGAGCCCTCTTGGCTCTCCTGACCTGCAAGCTGCCCAGCAGCCAGCAGCACCCACTCATTAGCAGCTGCATGTTTGGGACAGGACCCCTCCATTGATGAGGCCCCAACTGCAGTGAGAGCCCAAGATGCCTCCCGAGGGACGTGGGTGACACTGGCACTATCTGCAGAGAGGACCAGCATGGGCGCCTTTTCTGGCCCCTGAGGATGGTCGCATTTGACGTCCAGGTAGGGGCTTCCAGGACCCAGTCCCCAGAACCCTAGCTTAGGGTGGTGAGGCCTCCTAATCGAGGTGGTGCTGCTTGGCTCCAGTTTCCTCTGCACACCCGTTCAACAAATAGGCTCTGAGTTCCTCTGTCAATAGGCCCTGAGTTCCTCTGTTTGTCAGTAGTGCTGGTCCCCACACCTTGGAGGGGCTCCCAGGTTCCCCTCCAGACTTCCTCACAGCTTCCTAGCTGCCCCTGCTGCCAGCCCCTCCCAAGGGTGATACGCGCATCCGAGCACCTGAGAACACTGTGGTGGCCTTTTCTCTTCTGCAGGACCAAATCCCAACTCCCTCAAACCAGCCAACTTTAGCGCCATGGTTCGTTTGCCAGTACAATGGGCTCACTTTGTGGACTGGCTGCTCTGACTGGCCACGGTGGTCAAGGGCTTACTGCGCTGCGCTGTCCCTTCCCAATCTCTGCTACCATCTCCCTGCAGGGAACCCTTGCTGCCTGTCTGCTGCCCAGTACCCTCTCCCCAACTCAGGTAGCAGGTCTTCGTTTCTCCCAGGGGCCACTCTGGGTCCCTGCAGCTCAGGTGACATTAGCAGCCCCCTTAGTCTGAGGCCTGGGCACCCGGGCTAGCTGACCAATCAGGGCGTCACATTCCCTGGGTGAAACTGGTTGACCACTCAGAGGCCATCGCCAGGACAGCTGAAAGAGATGGGTCCCTCCCCTGCAGAGATCTCCCTGTAGATCTTGAGCCTGGGAGGGTTTGATGAAAATGTCTACACCTGAGGCAGCACAGAAAGTGCAGTCAAGAAATAGAAAGAAAGAACCTGGGTGCTGGAGACCCAGCTTAGAGCTTGATCAAACCACACCTGAAGGGGCCATTCAGTCATGACAGCCAGTCAATTCCACTTTTGCTTAGGTTGCTTACAGTCAAGTGCCTATCACTTTCGATAAAGAAGATCGAACAGATGTGCTTCCTCCCCAGTACAGCAGCCACATCAGTATCCTCGTCACCCTTCTCCCTGCCACATGCCTCTGTGCAGGGGCCCTGTCATTTTCCAGGTCCCAAGTAAAGGGATTTGCATGACTCCTGTCTGCACAGTGACTCACTCAAGGGAAGCACTGTATCCTCATCCTTAAGTGTGGAAATGAAAACCCAAGTGCACGGCCAGGTAGCCCCGGAGAGCCTGTGCTACCGCTGTGACTCTTACTGCAAACTTCACTCACAGCAACCTTGCCTGGAAGGCCCTTCCCTCTCTCCCGACTCTGCCCCTCCAGTCTTGCCCATCCTCTAGGGCCAGCATGGCTCTCCCCACACCCATACCCAGCACACATGGTCCCTGCCAGGCCTGTCTGTCCCACCTCAAAGGCCTGCCCTTTGCAAACCACCCAGTCTGTTCTGCCAACCCTCCTGAGCCAATAGCAGTGCTGGGGTCCCTCGGCTGTGTCCACGCTGCTGCTTCTCTGCTGGCCACAGACAGAGCCACTGCCCAGCAGGCAGATATGGCTGACTTACATGCTCCCTAGCCTGGGGACCGAGGGCTGCCTCAGCCTCAGCCTCAGCCTCAGGAACCTCCTTAGGGGACTGCTCACCCCCGCGTAAGTCATGACAAGGCAGAGTGCATTCGTGCAAGGCTGGGGAGACAGAGTCCCCACCTGTGCTGCTGGCTTGAAGGGCCAGTTGTGAGAATATGCGTGAGTGTTGCACAGGGCGCTTTGGCTTTGTGTATAGCAGGTGATTGGCAAAGTTTGCTCCTTCAGTCAACAAATTCTATACAACACTGCTCTGCTGACATCCTGCTGGGACTTTTAAACACACTTGCTTTCCTTAGACACACTGATTATTCTAGACCGGCGTAAATGCAGCCACAGAGGACAACTGGAAAAGCTGTGGATCCCACGAGCCGGGCACCAGCACTTGTGATAGGACCACGATGAAGCTGTACATTGCCGCACAGCCTTCCCTGTCCCATCCAAACACCAGGGCTCCTTTGCAAAGCCATCCGGGTTGGGACAGTAACCATGGTCCTTAGCCTTGGCTCTGTGCCCGGCACCATGCCCCTGAATGAGTGTAACACTGAGGTTCAGGCCTCTGTGGAGACACGCTCACCCGTACCTCCAGTCGTGTCCGGTCCACATCTTTGGGCAGTTTTACACGGATTCGGTTTGTTACGATGAGGGAATCATAAGGATAGATCTGTAGGGAAAGAAGCCACAGGGTCACCTCGAGAAGCGAGCGTATGCTGGGTCAAAGAGCAGAGCAGAGGGCAAATCAAAATACATACTTGTGTTGGCATCAGACACACATTTCATAGGGAAGGTACACAGAAAGGAACTTTTAACCTGGGCAGGTGCTGAAGAGATCAGCGTGGGTAGGCAGGCAGCCTCTCTTACCTGTACTCTGTAAGAGAAAGAGCAGAGACCACAGGGGGCCATTTAGGAAGTTTAAGAACCATGGTGAAAGTAATTCCTAGCTGGGGTCACCCAGGCCCCCTGCAGTTGGCTAGGCCAGACATGGTCTCCTGGGCCCCTAACCAGTCTGTGAAGGGCTCTAATCCCAGGCCTGTGGGGAGAGGAGCCCTGAGGGTCCCCTGGGAGAACCCAGAGCAGGAGGCATGGTCAAGGAAGCTGGAGGCCAGACCGGAAGCTGGGTGGTAGCACCGTGCTCCTCAACTGGGAAACATCTCCCCGGGTGGTCTGGGCCACCCTGAAAAAAGATGGCCGCCTCAGTTTACCCACCTGTGCAGTGGGCACTCGGGGCACTGGGGGTGTTGTGGAGACTGACACTCTCACTGGCCTCTGACCTCATCACGCTCTCACTGTCTTCCTTCTTGGCTCTCCTTCCTCTCCTAAACTACCCAGCTCCTCAACTTCTGAAATGTTTTCCTTCCAGACTAAAAGTTTCCTACCAGAAATAAAATCTTAGAGGTCAGGGCGTCCAAGGACACAGGACCACAGAAAGCAGGGTCGCCAGAACCCTGGCTTCAAACCACTCCAGAAGGGAGACTCCTGTGATGGGACCAGTTCCTGAGATCCCCCACATGCCACACGGGGTCCTGATGTGCCAGCTGTGACGCCAGGGACTTGGACAACCACTGAGAGAAGCAGGCAGTGATGCTCTGAGGTCATCCATGTGGAGACCAGCTCAGGAGAGCAAGGGTCCCTGGCATTCCCAGGGGTGACAAGGATGTAGCATGGCCAGACTCAGGACCCTGCTCAGAGCTGGAGTAGTGGCCCTCTGTGGAGCACCTGTCACATGACCAGGTGGCTACTCTAGTAACAGCCACCCTCCTGCTTCAAAGCCCAGAGAGTTGCACTCATGCCATCCGCCACAGTGAGTGAGGGCAGGACACAAGGTTGGAGATGCACTGTTGGGCTTGGACCCTGAAAGCTGTTTCCCTGTGACTCTACGTCCCCAAGAGACACAGAGCACCCAGTAAGCCAGGATGGGCCCCTGCACCCCAGGAAGGGGGAGAAGGGAGTGTCTTGAGTAACAGTAGCTTGGAGGTCTGAGGAGCCTCCCTGGGGTTCCCTGCCTGCCATGCCGAGCCTCTACAAGCAGACCCTGGAAGGGCAGCCTCAGAATGAGACCGGGGAACACGTGTTAGTGAACCCTGCCCAGCCAGAGACCCATGGGGGTCCCCGCTGTAAGTACCTCGCGTGCCCCAGCAGGCATCCAGGTCTACTCCACAAGGGACCAGGTTGGCATTCTGGAAGAGAGAGAGAGAGAGGGAGGCAAGAGGCAGGTTGCACAGGGTAGGCAGCGGGGAGCTGGGAGATGCCTCATTCCTTGCACAGCCCTGGGGAGGAGGGTGTCCACAATACAGTGGTGGTCTTAGGTGACCCAGTTCTAGAAGGCTAGTGTCCAGGATGCCTGCCTGGCGGGACTGCTGCCTTTTACTCTTGCCTTGGTGGCCTCTACTGATCCTACCTGTATGGTCAACTCCGTCCCATCTTCACAGAGTCCCCAGATGCCAGGGCCCTGGCTCCGTGGCTGGCATGGACCACAGCAGGTGATCATGCTGTGCTGGCATGATGCCCAGCGGTGCCTCTGCTCCTGCCACACCACAGGATTCTAGTGTAGCACCCACAACCTGCTATCTCAGCGCTCTGGGTAGAACAGGATCCGCCCTGCACCCTCTGTGCCCCACAAGCAAGCCAAGGGGGTCACACTAGCCGCTGCTTTCTGGGGCTGTAAGCCATCTCCTGCTCTGTTCCTGCAGGCTGCCAGCTACATGATATCTATGGCGGTGTGTGCCAAAGTCCATCCACCCCAAGGCTCCAATACAAAGGGGCCCCCAACCTTCTCCCAGGAATGCACAGGCACCACGGTAGCTCCACAGTGACTGTCTTGATGGCTAAAGGAGCCTGGTGGCTGAAGGTTCATGGTGTCTAAAAGAGCCTGGGCTGTTGTAAGCACTCTGGACAGAGTGGCCATGACTCTGAAGATAATACTCAAAAGGGGCGTGGAGCTGAAAGCCCCTGGCGCCTATCTCAGGTGCCTCCCTCAGCTGCCCAGGGCCTTCGTCGGCAGACTTTGCCATTTTTTAGTGCAAAATCATGGCCATTAATGTCAGGAGTTCCCTTTCTCTTCTGTCCACCTGGAAAAAAAATCTGTAACTCCCACATAACATCCTCACCATGACCACACAGCCTCACCCTGCTTAGCCTGCGGAGGGTTAAGCAATCCCTCCCCTGTCCAACTCCTGTATCTGATGGCGCCTGGTGTTTGCACTGAGAACTGTGCACAGTCAAGATCATGCACCTGGTCCAGGGTCTGAAATGGGGTCAGAACTGTTGACCGGTGCTTCTGAAATTGGGTACAGGGATTGCATTTCAGCAGAGAGCTCTGAGTAGGAGAGGGACAGGGTGCTCAGCCCAGCAGATACTGTTACAAGGAAAGCTACTTTCAGCACTGCCCTGCTGAAAAGGACAGTAAGCAAGGCACTTGTCACAGCCCCCAGAGATTGCAGGAACAGGAAAGGACCCCACAACCTAAGCTCTTCTTCTGGAATAAGGAGGTAACAGGCCAACAGAGAAGCTGGGACCTTCCTCCAGCCACATGGCTGCTCCCAGGAGTCTGGGACCAGGCTGGTGAGTGCGGAAGTGTATAAGCAGAGCGTTGGGAAGGCTCTTTATTTAAATTTTTGGTATTTTGTTCATTGTGGATTTTTTGCATTGATTTGGGTTTCTAAAATTATTACATCTCCACGGCTCTGTCATTTGGTCAGTGCCTCACTGCCTCACACAGACCTCACTTCAAGACCTCTCACCACCGCCACTTTCTCTCAGGAGTTCTCAAGGACAGTTTTGGGGGATGTTTTCTCTTTCAGACCAGTACCTGAGGTGAGCCTGTCCACCAGGGAGCTTCCTTCTTTCATAAAGCATTGCAAGCCTGTCTTGGACAGGCCTTTTTGCCTGCTTGGTGTTGACTGAGTGAAGGAGAAATGCTGCCATCTACTGTCTGGAGTCCTGCATCACAGGCTGTCAGACTGCCCAGGCCACCACCTTCCGGGCAGCAGAACCAGCTTCCTCAGTCTTCCAGGCTCTGAGGTGAGACAGGACTCCCCAGAACTACGTGGGCAGGGTAGGTGGGACATCCTCCAGGTGCAGGAGGGGGGCGTCAGGTTGATCCAGTTCAGGGAGGGTGCAATCGATACCTGGTCTTCTGAATGCAAAGGGAAAGGCTGTGCAAGACGTCCCAGGGCAAGCAAGTCCTGTTCTCCCTCGTGTCTGCACCAGCAGGAGAGCTGAGTGGCCAGGGGACCAGCCCAAGGCAGCACTTCCTAGCCCCTCCCTGGCTGTCTTCCCTCAGTCCTCAATGGAGGTGCTAGGGATTTTGTGCACAGCTGTTCTACAGATATATCCCCTAATCTTTCTGCAACTCCAGGAGGTGAACAGTACCATATTCATTTTATATAAGAAGCTTACAGAGGTTAACAAACACCCGGGGCTGTAGAAATTTGAACCCACGTGTTTTCCATTGCAAAAAAAAAATCACACTGGGACAACCAATAGGAATGAGATGGTGGCCGTGACCATCACTTTCTTGCTAAAGCCACATTCGAGAGCTGTCTCACTCAGCTGGGGAAAGAGGTGCTAGACACTTGCTTTTCAAATGACGACTAGTGAGAACCATTTTATGGAGATCATGGGAAGATCTCACAGCTCTTGTGTCCTCATGATAACTTTAAGAGATAAGGATTGCTTTTTCTTTAATTCTGTGAAGATTCAGAAGGTTTAAGTAACTTGTCCAAAGATAGAGGTGGGATTTGAACTCAGGTCCTTCTGAGTCTAATGCATATGTTCTTTCTAGCACTACAGCTGGAAACCTCAGAATTTTAAAAATTTCATTAAGATTCTGTTTGTAGTCATATACATAAACATTTTTTGGTAAATGTTTTATAAACATGTGAAAACTGAATTTAAAAGATACATATTTTATCAGATTTAGCTTGCTGTTTATATTTTTAAATTATTCTTTGTTCACTGGATCCAGGTCTTATTGCAAAAGAGCCACATCCAAATCACCTACACTGCTAGCATTTTCCCAAGATGCCTGGCATTGCCACATTGCTTGGTGCATTTAAGTTTACGAATGCTATAACTGTTTATTAAATTGGCCCTTTATCTCTTTACATATCAATTTTGTTGAACCTTAACTTTGACCTCATCTGATACTAACATTGATGCTGCCTTCCATGTGTAATTTTAACATCTGTTTTTTATCCTTTTCCTTCCTATCATTTAAAAATGATTTTAAGTTTATATCTTATAGTGGCATGCTATGACAACGCTATTTTTAAAAATTCACCTGACAGTCTCTGCCTTTTAACATTGAAATTCAATCTATTCACAGGTGGCAACAGAGGTTTTCAACATGGAATTTCTTCCAGGGAACTGTCACAAGGATCTGCAGGTGGCCAGTGGCCATTCTCTTAGCAGACCAGGGGCACATGTCAGAATCATTACAGCCTCATCCACAGGGGAACCTGTAGCAGGAGGCTGACACCCTGCTCATGGGTGGGTTTGTAAGCATGACTTCCTGCAGCAGACAGGAGCAGATAACCTCCTCCTGCAGGTTGTCTGGATGTTCTCATGACCTTTGGGACATACAGTGCTTTGGATCACTGGGTCCTCATCACAAACTCCCCTTGAAGCAAGACCCAGGAAGATCTTTGCCCTGATTTCCTTCAGTTCCTCAGACAACGAGAACTACGTAATTAGGTAAAGTCACAGTTGTGTCTAGGCCTTGGCTATCAGGAAGCTCAGAGGAAAGCTTGGGTAGCTTTTCTCATACAGTGTGCATTTGTTTGTTTTTGATATCATTTTCTCCCAAAGTTTCCCCCTCTATTGTGGTTTAATTTTAATGGAACTTTGGTCTCACTACATCTGTGCTTTTACTTAGGCCCCTAGAATCCTTTTTCTGGAAGCTAAAAAAAAAAAAAAAATCCAAGAAAGCACCTAAGAAATAACTCTGGGGCAGCAAAGGCCATTGGTAAAGGAGTATGGATGTGCACTCATTGGAAACCTCAGGGAGAAGGGCCAGAGTGCAGCTGCTGGGCGCGGATGCCCATAGGGCTGGTCACTTGACAGACCGAGGACCTGGTCTACACACTGATGAGGCATGAAAGTACAAAAGGGTTGTAGAGAGAGTGAAAGAAAACTAAGAAAGAGCATTACCAGGGAAAAAATGAATCTCAGAGCAGTGAGTGACAATATTGCCCCTACAGCGAACGTGAAAAGGTACAGCTTCCCAGGAGGATGAATTCCAACTTTGTGGACTCCCCCACTCACACAAGGGCACCTGGGCTTGCAATATGCTCCCCACACCTGCTGGGGTAGCAGGAGAGGCATCCTCACAAGGTCTAGCTCTTAATCCTGTAAAGCTTAAGCTGCTGCTGGCACTCATTCTGGGAGAAGCAAAGACTGTCCTGCCAGAATGTCTGGACCAGCTGTTCTCAACCTTCCAGGTAGGGCATCTGGAGACATGAGGTCAGCAGAGGCCAAGGCTTCAATCCATCCACTGACACATGCTAGCCGAGGTGCTCGCAGAGGGTGCACAGGCTGGACATGCAGAGAGAGCTGTCCCTTCTCTCCTACATCGAGCAAACCCCCAGCGCCTGACTTGGATGGGGTAGCATGTTGGCTTAGTCAGATGAAGAATGACACACCCTCTGGCTGCTGGGTTAGACAGCAGCTGCCCCCAGTGAGAAGAGAACATGCTAGACAGACTCCCACTGCCCCCAGCGCCCTTGATGTTGCAGGAGTCCCATGCAGGTCTTATCCCCTGCTTTCCCTGTGGAGGATGAAGAAAATTCAAAGAAGCATGCTACATGCGTGTCCATTCCAGGATGGGAAGAGCGGTTAGTGGGAAGGGAGGGAGGGGGCTTGGGGTCCACTAGAATCCAGTCATGCAGAGGCGCCTGAGCCAGGGTTCCCAAGCTGGGCTCTGGACAGAAATACACAACAGATCTGACAGATCCGGAGAAGATGGAGAAAAAACCCAAAGGCTGGCCCCAGAGATGTCTGCTGCTCCTGGAAATAACATCCCTGCTCTTAGGGAGTGTCCCTGTGGCCTTGACCCTGGGGACAGGACATGCCCAACGTCTGTCTCTGAGTTACACACTTACTGCCATGACTACTGTGGGACAACACGCAAGGTCCTCAGTTTTTTAGGGTTGTTCTTAAGAGATGAATGATGAGTTTATGGACAAATTTCCCCAAACTGGGAAGAGGCTGAGTGGGGTACTGGAGGGGTTTCCGGGGCTGTGTGTTTACATGTCGGGGACTCGGATACCGTCAGGATTCTCATCAGAGATTCCATACAGCTGTGGGATGGGTGTTGACTACAAGCTCTCTTCTCAAGGGGCCAGGGGTAAGGCCAGGCCCTCTGTGGGGCTGTCAGGCTCCAGAAGGCCTGCACTCACAGTCAGATGCCCTAAGACTGGGAGCACACAGGATGGAGGACAGACTAGCCTGCAGCTGAGAGCAGTGACAGGAAGCTCGCATAACATCACAGGTGCCAATTGGGCCACTCCTAGTAACCATATGATAGTAACAATGGGTGGGCCCTGGCATCCCAGCCCAGGCTGTGGGTACTTGGCTCCCACTGGCCCAATAGTCCTTTCTGGGCCTTATGGGGTTCGACCTCACAATGGAAGTGGGGCCTAGAGGCTCCTTAGAGTAACCCTGATCACTCCGGGTGCTCCACCTCTCCCCAGACTCACATAGTGGTGTCTGCCTGGGTCGTGGGGCAGAGCAGAGGGGAGTCGGGGTGTGGCCAGATCTGATCCAGTCCTGGTATGGAAAAAGCTGTGACAAGTGGCCCTGAGCAGAGTGCTATTAGTGGCAGGGGCTGGCAGGCGAGCAGGGTCACGCCTCTCCTCTCCTCTCCTCTCCTGGCTGTGAGATCAAGAGCTGTGGGAGCCGTGTGCAGCTTGGCAGTGAGGGGTGATTAGTGCCCCTCGGGAGGGAGGGACTGAGTACCTACCCGGAGGTCCAGGCCATCCTTTCCAGGTCCTGGGAGAGAGTCAGGTTTGGAATAGGGGAAGCCTGCAACAGACACAGCACAGCTTTGTCACGCAAGCAGTTGGCCAGGCGGGGAGAGCACGTGGCTCAGGGAGTGCTTCTTATGGAAGGGACAGGGACTGGGAGGTGACAAACCTGCCTCGGTGTGACCTCCTATCCTCAGAGCAGGGACTAGGAAGAAGCCAGGGCCAGGTGACATCCTCAGTCTACTCATGACCCCAGAAACACCACTGCATCTGGGTCCTAGACCAGCTGGCACCTGTGTTCAGGACAGGCTTTGACATCATGTCACCTCACTCCACAGATGGGGCCCAGACTTGGGATCCCCTGGGGCACATAGGGCCACACCATCTTGTGCCAGGGTGGCATACATGGCCTACCAGCAGCCAAATGGGGCCTGGAGACAAGTTTATTTTCTAAAATATCCTCAGATCTGTTTGTGGTTGGAGGATCTCACATTAAAATGTGATTTGCTAGTTTCTCCTGGCTCTGAGACACTGGGCCCTGGACCTCCCCAGCTGGCCCTGGGTGGACTCAGGAGGTTGAGCCCTATTAACCTGTTTAGTGACATTGCAGGAAACACACAAAGGAACCCCACACCCAACACCCACAGCTCAGAGGTGGCGAGGTTGCCTTCTGGAGGGAGGGAATGGGGCACCGCCTACTCACCCCTGGTGGGCATGAATCACTACTCCCAGAAAGCACACTGAAAAGGCCTAACCCAGGACCCTGAGCTGTCTGTCCTTCCACTGTCTTGCAAAACTTCAGACAGCAGGGCCCACATCTGCCTCATGTGAGTGCCTTGCCCCCAGCCCTAGCCTAACTCCAGCAGTACAGACCAGCTAAGCCCAGTGCCAAATGTCCTTGGGGTCACCAGCAGCCCAGGGGAGGGCAGTCATGTCCTTCAGTGTTCATGAGGCTGAGTGTGTACAGGGGACAGAGGTGGGCACAGGACTGCTGGCCCACCCACCCATTCCCGGGAGGCTTCACTTCTGAGCAATTACTGGGCCAGGTGCCTTGCTTTGGGGAATTCTCATGGAGCAGTAAGGACAAAGGAGAAATTCTACAAAGGTCACACATGGACACAGAGCCAGAAGGAAATGCCTCACTGGGCACTTGGCCTAGGGATCCATTTGCCACCAGGTAGCTTGTGGGAAGGTTCTGGATGTGGGTCAGCAGGGCTCTTTAACATCAAGGTCAAGTTCCCAAACTTCCTTGACAGAGGAGCCCTTGTCATACGAAATTGTATACCAGAGGGAGCTGGGAAGAGAGTGTCTGGGAGACAGACTTGGAGCCAACCCTGCTGAGCTGCTTCGTGCTACCCCCAGCCTCTGTGGCCCCTTCAGGTAAATGGCCTTGCCTTCACTTCATATTCACAGAAGGAGAACTGAAGCCCAGAGACATGCAGACACCTGCCTGAGGTCACCCACCTAGAGCGCCACAACCCCAGGATGCCAGACACGCTCTCCTAACTTACAGTGGGGACCCTCCAAGAAACACCTCCCTCCTAATGTATACACAGAGATGGGAACATCCTGGGATCTTGAGGGACCCACTGGCTGAGACATGGGGCTCTCATCAGCTGGATGCAAGATGCAGTGGCATGAGTTGCTCCCCAGCCAGTGGCATTGACCTTACTGGGGAACTTATAAAAACACAGGTGCTTGGCCCCACCCCAGACCTATTGAGAGAGAATTCTGGATCTGGGGAGTATATGTGTTTTTACAGCCTTCCAGATCCATTTGGATGTATGCCAAAGTCTGGGATGTACTGTCCTTTGTCTTGAAAACTGTGAATGCCCTCCACTGTACCCTTGCCCTACCATTAGGTCTGGGGGTCTCACCCAAAATGCACACGGCGGCCACCCGGAGAGATAGAACAATTCCCAGTGCCTGGGCTGCTGGCCACAGGGATCACATGCAGTGTGGAAACCTTACTTTCATTAAGTCATTTTATGCCTCCATCTTTCTAACAACAACTATGCTAGGTCTTATGGAGTCCCTGCATCAGATGGTGTTATACTTATTGCTCCAATCATCAAATATGACTTGAGGAACTGAAGACGAGAAGAAGGATGGTCTATTTCATTTACCCCACCATTACCTATTCCAGTGTTCTTCCCTTTCTGAAGTTCCAAGCCTCTGCCTGCCATTACTCCTGTCTGGAGAACAGCCTGGAGCCACTCTTTAAGGTCTAATGGGGACACCTTGTCTGAGCTTTCCACTGTCTGAGAGCATCTCTATCTCCTACTCATCCTAAAGACTACTTTCACTGGATATAGAATCCACACGGACAAGTGGATGACAAAAGTGCCACTCCCTCCTGGCTTTCATAGTTTCTGATGAGAAATCTGCTGTCATTCTTAGTGCTCCCCTCTGGCAATGCCTCTCTTCTCACTGGATGCTCTTTCTTTCTTTCTTTTTTGTCTCTAATGTTCAGAAGTTTAGTTCAGATGTTTTGGTGTGGAGTCTTTGGGTTTATGCTCTTTGGGGTTCACTCAGTTTCTTGAATTTGTAGGTTCCTGTCTTTTGCCAAGTTTGGTATTCAGCCATTATTTCTTTGAATACTTTTTTCAAGTTCATTCTTTCTCCTCTTCTCCGGGAATCCAGTGATATAAATATTGTCTCCCGGGTCCTTGAAGTCCTGTTCATTTTTTTCTATTTCTCTTTGTTCAGGTTGGATAGTTCCTACTGTTCTATCTTCACAGTCCTGATTTTTTTCTCTGCCCCATGTGTAGGAGGCCAGCCCTCTTCCCTCTTCCTGCCCTGTGATGTTGGCTCTGTTATTTCCAGGTTCTCTCAGTTGTGCTTAGTGGGGGCACAGGGAGGGAGGGGTCTGCTTGATCTCATCCACTCAGTTGCTATCTGTGCTATCTGGGCCCAACAAAATTGGTCTTTCTTGGGGAGTGAACAGCCACTGGCTGATTTTAAAGGTCCCAGGGCCCCATGTGCAGTCAGGGCACAGAACTTTTCTTTTTTCTATACAAAAAAAAAAATCCCTTTTCACATTCAAATATTCCACTCAACACTCACTGGCCTATGCATTGAACATGAACCCATCTTAATAGATGAAGAAGGCAAGGCCTAATGAGAATGAGTGGCCTGCATAAGGTCAAACAGCTTCCAGCTGGAGAGAACTTAGGCTTTTGCTCCCAGCATATGGGCATGCAGACACCTTGTCCTCTAGGGACCTAAGTGTCTGATGTGATCATATGGTCTTTAAGAGTGTGTGGCTGTGTGTGGGCATGGGGGGTGGGCAACAGGGAGAAGGCAGGTATTGAAGACCTGGGGGAAAGTTCACAGCTGGGTGATCATAACCCTGGGTCACATCAGGTTCTGCAAGCACTGGACACCCCTCACCCACAGCCAGGCTCAGCCATCCATGCTCTCTGTGCCAAGTCTCTGAAGCCTGCCTGAGACTACCTCATCCACAGAACTCTGCCTGGACTGCTCTTGGGGTCCCGAGCACATTCTCCCTGGTTCTGTCTTCTTCCAGGCCAGCTCATTAGAGGTCAGGGGAGCCACTGGACATTAAAGATGAGGTCCTTGTAGGTAGGTGGAGGAGTGTTCCAGATGCAACAGGAGACCACATGGCCTGCCATAGCATTCTGGGGAGATTGCCATTGTCTCACTGGTGTTCAAGATGTGACTTTGTTGCTGTGTGGCCCTAGGCGGGTTTGGTCCCTCTCTGGACTTCAGCATCCCTATCTGAAGAAGAAGGGGTCTGAGCTATAGTGAGGAGAGGCCCCTTGAGCAGTCTGAGCTTCAGCCTGTGGAAGAAAGTGAGATGGGCCTGTGCCAGCTGCTGAATGATTGCCACAGCCTGGCTGTGGACTTGAATGTGCTCTGCCTGGATGCCTGGCCAGGCCATAGGATGCTCTGTGTTTACATGTGAACTTCTCACCCCAGAGGCTCCTTGCCAAGAGGATGGGATCATCCTTGTTTTGAAGGTGTGGGAGTTTCACATCCAGAGAGGTTTTCTCTTGGACCCAATGTCCCATAGCAGTGAGAAGCTGGGATTCTACCCAGTGGACCAGTTCCTAAGCACAGCCCCTCACATGGTCTTCTGATGAGACCCTGCCTGCTCCCACTCATGCCTGGTGGTCTTCCTCCCATACCATGTCAGCTGTTTCTCTGGTGGTCACCTGAGCTGGTCACTAAATCTTCACATGTGCTGAATAGCCCCCAAACCTGGACACTGGTGACCACTTCCTGTTACCTTCTTGCCAGATCCAGTCCCAGGAAACTTAAGTCAGAACCCTCTAGGAAATTCCCTCCCCTGGGAGGCCACGCCAGAGTCCTCCATAGGCTCACAAAGGGCCAGTGGCACAGCCATGTGGCCTGTGCTGGTCCTCACCCACCAGGCCTGCCTCTACCTTTGGTTGGAGCACCAGGTATTCACCCTGTCTAGGGCCAGACCTCAAGCTCTGCTGGACCTTGACTTCTTTACCTGAGGACTTCTTCTGTGTCAGGCTGCGCCTGCCCAGGCACCCATGCCCCAGATGACTTGCTCCATCCCACTGAAGGCAGCTGCACAGGATAGGAAACTTGGTCTGTTTTGGCCCCTGCTCTATCTCCCCACCCAGAATGCCCTAGGACACAGAAGGGACTCATGAACTACATTCAGGGTGACTGGGCAGCTCGCATCCCACTCTGGACCCTGTTTTGCCTGTTGAAAATGAGGACATGGTGCCAGTGTCTTCCTGGTCTGATATCTGTGGACTCCGCCTCTATGAGGTCTCAGACACAGTCCTCTGCCCAGGTGCATGAAGCCCATCTCCCTCACATATGAGATGGACAGGTGGCAAATCAGGACTCTGTGCCTTTCAACCATGGGCTGTGACCTTGAACTCCACAGGAATCATAGTGGAAAGGAGAAAGGCCATGTTTGACCCTCCTGCTGGCTGGAAAAGAAGAGGGCCACAGGGGACCAGTGTCCTGTGACTTCTTCTCCATGGGGAGGGTAATGAGCGAAGATAAACATATCCCATCAAACACGGGACTCCACAGGGTCCTCCCAGGGAGGGGACACACAGGTGACACAAAATGACAAGTTCAGGGCAAAGAGGCCCATGTCAGGACCACTGTGCTGCCTTGGTTGCTAGCTCAGAGCTTTTCTCATGCATCCCTATGCCCTAAAACACCAGGGGCCTGGCCCCTCCCACCTCCTCTCCCCTGCTGGGGTTGACAAAGGGGCTCCTCCCTTTGGAAGCCCTGGGGCCTTGTTAGGGACTACTGAGTCTTCTAGCCAGTGTCTCCTGCTTGCTAGGGGCCTGGGATTATGCTGGCACACATCTGACCACCGCATGTGTGTACCTGTATGTGTGTGTGTGAGTGAGTGTGTGTGCATGTGTGCGCACAAGGGACCTCAAAAGAGAGGGCAGGACCTGAAAAGTGAGGGATAAGGGGCACAGAGCAGGAGCAGTATCCATGGGTACTGGCCAGGGGCGAGGTCCGGGCCACCTCCTGTTCTTCATCAGGGAGTAAAACTCATCCTATAAGACCTTCTTCAAGGTCCTCTTCTTATAATGGAAGGGAGCCCCATCCTTCCTGTGCAGAAACCAGGCCCACTGATAACGCAGATGGCTGCACACAGTCCAGATAACACCTATGCGTAACAGAAAAGCACAAAGTAGTCTACAACAAAACTAGCTGTGGCATGCTTGTAATGCCAGCTACTCAGGAGGGGAGGCAGAAGGATTTCAAATTTGAAGTTAGCCCCAGGAAAGTTAATGAGACCCTATCTCAAAAACAAAATAAAAACAAAAGGACTGGGGGCCTGGCTCAAGTGACAGGGCACCTGCTTAGCACATGAGTCCCTGGCATTGCAACAGCACAAAACAACAAAATCCCCAACCCCATGTATTTCTTTAGACACAATGGCAGTGCCCAGCTGAGGACCATTGCCCTGGGATGGGGCTGTCACTCTGGCTTGTTATCCTCCTGCCTATCTGCTCCTAGTACTGGGTTCAGCACAGAGTAGATGCTCAGTAAATACCAAGTGAATGAACGACTCGGAATGAATTCAGTTCTGAGTGAGATGTGCTGATGGTGTCATGGATGGAATGAGGCTGTCACCAGGCCCCTGTGAGCCACAAGGCACCTGGGTAGACAGACAACAGAGGACACACGAATGAGTCTTTGGTTGGTGTCTCTGCCCTCCCTGCCACAGCTCTCCATGCACTGCCAGGGGCTGCCCTCAGCTTCTGTCTCCCCCTTGGCACCCTGTTCAGCGTCTGGAACAGAGTGGGTGCTCAATAAATACCCGTTGAATTTAATGCATTTCAATTCAACCAACAATTATTGAGCGCCCACTGTGTTGAGTGTCACAATCCTGCCTTCCTTGGCGTGCTACCGACTGGGTGCCGACTCTAGAGAGTGGAAGCTGTGTGCAAATGGAACCGGTGCCGATGGGCTCACGCTCTGAGACTCAAAAGAACCATGAAAAAAAGGATGGATAATTGCTCCCCTCCCTCTCTGAACTGCTCATGAGGCTGGCAGACCTAGGCAAGACCGGCAGCCTGGGTCCTCACTGCTATTTCTGGGTGCACAGGGAGCGAGATGAAGTTATCAGGATGGAAATAAAGGTAAAGTTACAAGGTGGGCCTCCTGCCTAGAAGATCTGATGTCAAGACACCAGAGAAAGTGAGGCAGAATGCAGTTGTGACTGCAGGCATGTAGCAAGTGTCCGGGGGCTAGGACTCACACACAGTTTATGCACCGGGTAGTTACCTCCCCAGCTACATCACGGGCACCTGCATGGAGCAGGCTTATTCCCATCTGAGCCATGGGCACTGCTTGCTATGGAATGCAACAGAAGGGGTGGAGCTGACAAACCAGCCCTTGCAGCTGTGGGAGTGCCCAACTGAAAGGACTGACCCAGCCTTGCAGGACCAGTCACGCTCAGGTGCCCCTGGGAAGGCATCTGCAGAAGAGGAAGTGGTGCAGGAGGTGAAGGCTGCACGCACAGGTCTCACTGCACAGCAGTGTCAGAGGGAGGGCCGGAAAGGCAGCTGTCTGCAGTCCAGGCTTCTTCCCACATTGTGCCCCTTCCTCGGTCCTGGGTCACAGGAAGGCCACAAACTATAGTTTGTGAGAGAGGGGAACAGGGATTGATGGGGGCAGTAGTTGGCTTCCCAGGGGGAGTCAGGGAAAGGGATGAGCCTGGAACCAGACCTGCCTGCCCCCCAGCAGGGGAAGGATGGGAAACTAGAAAACATGACCTGAGACCGTCAGACATTCAGTTTTGGCCTCAGGGCTAATGCTTGGATGCTAAGACACCATGCAAGTCAGGGCAGGCTGCAGAGCAGCTCCTGAGCTGTGCAGAGAGAACTCCACCTCCCAAACTCACATGCATGACAGGCAGGAAGGTCTGTCGCCAGACACAGCCCTGGCCACAGGCTGGCACGGCAACTCCTGGAGCAAGGGTCCCTGGGACAGACAGAGGGCTGAGGACTCTGAGCAGCCTGCCCTCAGCACACAGGGACCTTCACCACCTCCTTACCCTGCCTGTGTGGGGGAAGGGCGTGCTTCAAGAGTCCAGCCCCTGGGATTGTTCTGTCTGTCTTCCCATGCCACGTGGACCCTGTGCACGTGCTCTGAGACCCTGAGGACAGTCCAGGCACCAGAGAATGCAGGTCCCAAAGAGAACACTACACCTTTCTTTGTTTCCAGTTATTGTTTAACACGTCCTGATTCCAATGTGTTGCTCTCTCCCTCCCACACGGAGCACTTTCCACTAGCATTGGTCAGACAGCACAGTTCCAATTTGGGAGGAAGGTGAGGCGAGGATGATACATGTCTGTTTACTGAGCAGCTACTGTCAGTCAGCCAGGGCGCTAGGTGCAAGCCCAGGGTCACACAGCTGCTCACAGGTGAGCCTGGATTTGAACTAGGGTCTGTCTTACTGCAAAGCCAGGAGCGCTCCTCTGCTTTCTTGCACCTCATTCAGCCCTGTGTCCTCCGTTTCCCACTTCAGCCCTGGCCACAGAAAACAGCCCTGCCCAAGCTCAGACCCGAGGCTGCCTCCAGGAGACCTGATGAGTCTCACTACAGCTCGCTGTTGGCTTCTGTCTGTGATATACAGCATCTTGCAAACGACATGACCGGGAGTTTCCTCTATGTTTGAAAGTCACTCCCAATTCAGCCTTCACGACACCCCCCAGGTCAGGCAGATATCAACTTTGTCTCCTGTAAAGTATGAGGCGATAATGTCTGGGACTCACCAGTGCCTTGTTCAGGATGTCACAGGAGACAGGGAAAGTGCCATGTCACCACCTCCAGGTCTGGACTTGCCCCCTGGACCATGCCCACATCTGCTCTGGAGGGAGATGGATCCTAAGAGCCGTCTTTCTAAAATTACCCAGGAGCCCCTGTAGCTTTCTTGCAGCCCTTAGAAGTGTCACTAGGAGGCTCGGCGCTGGGCCACAGTGGGCACACTGTCTAATTAAGGCAACGCAAAGGCTCTGCTTGCCATCTGGTTTGCCTTACATTTGCTTTTATATTTTTCACCAAGCAAGGTTGGGATGTGGGAGATGGCTCAGGTGTGGCCCCTGCACTGGAGGCCTTCCACGCGTGTCATGGCTCCTGGCTCAGAAGAACCACTCACGTGAGCAGAAGTTGTCTCCTTGCATTGTTTGGAGAGGATCTCGCTCGGTCCCACTACTGAGGGACAGAGACTGGCTGTCCAGGTCTGGAGAGTTCGTCCTTGTGTCTGTGTCTCCCTTGAGAAGCAGCCAGGTGGTCTTCTGCAGAGGGACAAAAAGTCATGTGAACATTGAGGTCATTGTGATAGTGAAACAGTTCACTAGAACCTTCTATTTGCTTCTTTCTTCTAACCCACAAGCCAACTCCATGGTGAGAAAATTCAATACGTGAGAAGTCCAGGTTTTAATACAAATCCCAGCATTTAGGGATTTCATCTTGCCCCCTCCCCCACCTTCTCCAGGCAGGGAAAAGGCATTACCCCATTTCACAGACAAGGAAACTGAGGCTCAGGGAGGCCTGGGGCCCAAGTGGCTTCACTGAGGAGAACAAGGTGAACTGGCCCAAGTCCAGCATGGGCTCTTTCCCCTCATCTACCTGCCTTCCTCAAAGACAAGTGCGGGGCCTTGACTGGAGAGGCATGGAGGAGCTCAGCCTATGGGCCAAACTCTGCCCACCGTCCTGTTTTTGTAAGAAAAGCATGGAACACACCTGGGGACCCTGCTCACTCTCACGTCCTCTCTGGCTGCTTTCACAGAGCCGTGTGACCGTGTCAGAGAGCTATGGACAGGATCCCCTAAGATGTTCACCCTCTTAGATAGCATCTGGTAAACGTGTTCCCAAAGACTCACCCCAAATGCCTCAGAGCACACCTGGGTTTATTTCCCTTTCACTGTTCACATCTCCTCAGTTTTAGACCCACGACCAGGCCACATAATGCAGACCAGGCTGTGGCAGAACATGGGCTCATCCTCAACATAGGAAGGAGGCTGAGAGCACAGCTCCTACTTATGATCCTGCAGGATCCCAAGGATCAGAGGAAGAGGAGGAGCTGGAGACCAAGCTGGAGAAGCCACCGCCCAGGACAGGGCTGCACTAAGTAAGAACTACTTCCTCAATTACCTTCCTGCTGTCCTGGTCGAAACTTCCATCCTCCCCATCCAGTCGCCTTGAGGCTGGAAGGAAAAGTCAGTGTGTCAAGGCCGTACACCTCGTGGTCTGCGTTTCCTGCTTACATTATGCTCAGTAAGGGAGAACAAGAAAAGATCAACTGTATGAGTGTCTTTTAAGGGCTAGGAGCAAGAAAAGCTGGAGCAGGCCTGGGGCGGAGTAGGGGGAATGCCATGAGTGTGAATGGCTCCTGGGGTCACAGCCCAGTTTGTGGGTGCAGCCTTTGAGCATGAATGGCTCCCAGAGGAGAGGGCCTGGTGGTAGACATGAGCCCTAAGGGCGAATGGAGGTACAGCAGTGACTCCTCCTTCAGTTCTAGCCATCCGTGGAGTCCTATTTTAAGGTATAACCTCTTAGTATTTGAAGGACTCACTTTCTACCTTGCAAGTGGGACACTGAGGGAACAGAGGGTCTCAACCACAGAGGCCTCAGTGCCAGACATGAGCTAGGTACCTTACATCCATCACTGCCTCCCGTGCCAAATCCTGCAGGGAGGGGACTTCACACCATTTCACACATTGAGAGACAGAGGCTCAAGGAGGGCCTTGTCCAAGGTCGCAGACTAGTGGTGGGGGTTGGGAACAGCGGCTGACATGAACCCAAGCACAGAGTCCCAAGTCCCTCCCCGTCTGTCCACCCTGAGGTCTGCAACTGCATTTTTTTGTGGGTGAGTTATACCACTGAGAAAAGTTCATGGAAAACAGTAAAGAAGTGACAAATACACCCTGGGATGAGCCCAGTGAAGCAGAGCAAGCGAGCAAGGGTCAGTTTACCATGGATGCTATCTGCAGCATTGGTGGGAGTTGTCACCTAGCCAGGCTGACATGACTTCCAAATGAGACTGAGCAACAAAACCCCACAGGCACCCTGCCATGCCTCAGCATCAAGTCAGTGCAGAGAGCGCCCTCCTACACCATGCACCCGCCCACATGCAGCAATTATGTGAGAACCCTTGCTCCTTTCACAGCCTACCACAGAGCCAGGGACCATAGAGGACATGGTGGCAGCTGCTTACAGGCAGCCTGTGATGGGCTCAGCCTTATCAGTCTTTTACAGCACCCTGCCTTCTGCACCACCAAGGACAAGCCTGACACTAGGTCAGAGAGCTTGGACACTGGGGACTGGACTATAGGACATTGACAAGATAGGGCCAAAATTGAAGACTGGGCACTTCCGTTCTGGCTGTGGGGATATTTCCTTACTCCTGATGACTGTCCATTTCTCCCTCCTCAGGAAAGAAAGATTTTCTAGGCAAAAATAAAAATCCCTGCTCTCTCTACTCCCAAAGATGAGTTAATGGTGAACCTGATGAGGAGGCTGTGATGGAGAGACTGAAGGTGGGGAGCATGCAGGCAGACACAGGCCAGCAGTAGGGTCCTCCGTGTGCCCAGACAATGGTCATGCCCCAGTGCATCAGCCTTGACCCTGGCAGCTGACCAGCAAGGCCCAGGGATGAGCAGACCAGTAGTGAGTGGGAGCTCTGATAGTACTGTCACTGTCCATGCTGGAGGAGGCCCCTGGGGCTGAGTCTGATAGTGAAAACAAGTAAGCCACTTTCCTGAAAGCAAGAAGTTCAGAAAATGGATGAAAATGCTTAGAATAGTCTACTACGACAACACAGCTGAGCAGCTCTGGCCCAGGGCTCTTCAGGATGTGAAATCCTAGCCCTAGAGCTCAGGCCGTGGGATCTGTGGGGACCTGGATTCCAGGACCTCACACAGCCGTGGAGGGCTGGCTGGTCAGACATGTTCTGGTGGACAGAAACCTCAGATTCAAGCACAGCTGCCATCTGCTGAGAAGGGTGTTCTGCCAGACTTAGCAAGTTCCCTCTGCAAACACTGCCAGCACATCAGGGCTGCAGTCAACCAGGGTACAGCCACGGGCTTCTCAGAGCCAAGGTCACAAGCTGCAAAGCTGCCATCATTCATCTGGGAACTAAGAGCTTTGCACGAAAATGTAGGAAACTGGTATTGTGTATTATTGGTGAGTTGATGCCTCAGTTTCCTGATCTGAGAAACAGGCAAGTAATACCCACTCCTCCAAGTCCTAAAGACCAAATGAGATAATGCATGCAAATCTTGGAGCAATGGGGAGGCCAGCTTACAGACTTGAAGTTATGAACAAATAAGGGGCTGATTCTGAAGTTCATTTGTAGTATGCTGTTTGGGTCTCAGGAAAAGAAAGATTGATTCAGGACAATCAGATAAAGAGAGTTTAGTGTGTCTTTTGTGTCACACAGAGCTCGGGAATGCTTTGCCCTGAGGAACCCTCTTGGGAAAGGCTCACTTCCTACTTCCTGTATCCCTTGGGAGTCTTGTTAGAGGCATCACAATGAAAGTGAGAGTCTAGTTTCCCTTCTGGCTTGAACTCAGGACCTCATGTGTGCTAGGAAGGCGCTCTACTACCTGAGAGACTCCACCAGCCTCTAATTTTCTTTCTGGATACAGATCAGCCCAGCCTTTCCTGCTTCCCATACTCTGTCTTATAATTTTTCATACCTGGACATTCATGAATGCATCTATGTACCCCTTTAACAAGTCATTTATTCTTTTCTATTCACTTATTTACTTATTCTTTTAGCTTCCCAGCCACCCATCCATACACACATCTACCCATCTACCATCCATCCATCCTTCTATCCACCCACCCATCCATCCATCCATCTATCCAGCCACTCATCCATCAATCTACCCACACACCCATCTATCCACTCACCTATCCACCCATCCACACACCAGTCCATCCATCCATCTATCCATTAGCTCACACACCCACCCATCCACATATCCATACATCTTTCTAACCATCTAACTTGTTCATCTATCCAGCTGTTCCCTTATTCCCTCAGCCACCTATCCATTCATGCTTTTCTTTGCCCACCTCAATCCATTCCTTTGCCCACTGGTGCCTCCATTCATCCCTGCATCCTTTTCTCCACCTACTCCTCTCTTCATGTACTCTCTGTTTTCCATTTAACCCTTCAGCCTTTGTCTCCCTCCCTTCACTGAGTGTTCATCTGCACTGTCCCAAGTATGGGAAGGCAGGAAACCTCAGACATGACCCTGGTCTTCAGAGGCTCACAGATCAGGAAAGTGGAGGAGTACAGAGGTTTTAGAAGGTTTCTGGACGTGTAACAAGCGCCTTGATGGGGGAGCAAGGTCAGCACAGAGGTGCTCCCCAAGACTCGCATGTGATGAGCTCTTGCTGAATTCCCACTCCCAGGGCAGACCCTGTACCACGGTGTGGATAAACACTTGCCAAGGGTGTTAAGGGTTATAGTAAATGTGTGGACCTCACTCACACTCGAGGAGGCTTGAGGTCCGAGTGAGGCTGCACAGCTGGCAGCCCTGAAGCCCGAGCTCACTCACTTCATTCCCCCTGGAAGATGTGTTACTTAGGGGACTCACGGATGCATCACCCCAGCTCTGCTTGCTATAACTTGTACACAAATCTACTTCCCCACTGAGCAGCTGACAGGAGACACCTTAAAGCCAAGGCCACATGTGTTCAGTACCTCCCATGGTGACCTGCACATGGTGAGTGATCAGAGTTAGTGGACAGGTGGACCCAGCATAGCTGATCCAGGGCTTCCAATACAGACCCTGCCAATTCCTGCTTGGTGGCACCAACACACTGATGGCTCTGATCTCTGGACTCCCTCGCTGATGTCCAGGGGGCTGGCAGGGCTGTGGGGATCACTCTAGTCACTGTTCTGGGGGCCATCCAACCCCTGTGACCACCCAATCAGGTGGTTTCAGCTGTGGTCTAGCTCTCTGCCTCCAGGGCAGACACATTTTTGCAATGTCTGCAGTGCCGTCCAAGTGGGAAGGAGCTTTTGGGGAGACAGGATCTCCTCAGGCCACATGGAGGAGATCCCATGGGCTCTGCAGGAGATCTGGTTTCCCTCTAGCCTGTAGACTGGGATTCTGAGAACAGACCCACTAGGGTCGTTTCTCTTATTCTCCCCAGAATGACCCCTATCTGTACAGTTCAAACCAAGTTGGAATTACTTGAGAGGGAAAGAGAATGAAGTGTGTGTGTGTGTGTGTGTGTGTGTGTGTGTGTGCTGTGCAAACCTGGGCAAGTCCACTACACTCTCAGCTGCATGGAACCAGGGCCATGTGTAGTCACCATGTTTCCCCAGCCTTGGGACAGAGCCAAGCACATAGTGGGCGCTGGAGAAGTATTCTTTGGAAAAATGAATGAATGAAAGTCACTTAAATCCTTTAGCACTTGGCTTCCTGTCAGTGTGGAGAATGACTCCCGCTCACTGGCTGACGGCAGGACCGACAATAACTCAGGAGGAAAAGGAGTAGAGCCAACGCCTCCGACTCCTCCTCCTCCTCCTCCTCTCCCTCCCACCTTCCCTCTCTCAGAGCGAGAGGGTTTAGCATGTCCTCCAGATACCCAAGGGCAGCTCCTTCTGAGGCCTGGCATGCTTCTGTCCCAGGGCCCTCTGAGGAAAGGCTGACGTCCCAACCGCCATGTCCCTTGGGAGCCTCTGCCCATTGGAAGTGTGAGGTCTGGAGTGTTCTCTGTGGACACAGAGCCTGTCTGGCTCGGTGAGCCAAAGTGAGACTTGACCAGAGAGACAACAAAGGACAAATATCTGTTTCCAATCAGGGACGGAAGAGCCAGTGATCAACACACACCAGTGGGGACACTGGTGTCTCACTTGGTGGGAGGCTTTGGGAAGGTAGGTGGTTGATGTGCATCCTTGCTGGTCTGACAGTGGCTGGAGAGCAGGGGCCGTGGGAGGAGCCACCTCCTGCCTCCCAGGCCAGAGCAGCTCCCTCCTGTTCATCTGACTCACATTTACTTAGAATCAAACAGCAAACCTGGCAAAATATCAACGCCACCCTGCACCTGGATGGTCAGACTTCCTGGGAAATTTTGGGGAGAGTGTTATTTTGTTCTTGTGTATTCCTCTCAAACAGTCTAAACACTGGCACTGCTTCCTTCCATTGAGTGACTCAACCTCCACAAAGTCCCCACTATGGGCCAAACATCATTTTCCAGAAACTTCCTAAAAACCCTACAACCTCATTTTCTGGAGGAGATGGACCCTGAGGAAGGAAATATTTGCTCCCTGTGATGTGGCTAGTCACAGAAGGAAATGTGGTTAGATACTGTGAGTCCCAATGGAGAGCTGCACCTGAACTGAGAACCTTCCAGAACCTTTGATCCCTAGTGGCTGCCACAGCCCCTGTGCTGCTCTGTCTGCCTTCTGCCAGACACACATCTGTTCCTGATGGTACAGGGAGGCTCCTGTTCTGTCCCTTTCTTGCCATTTCCCACTAATTTCCTTTTGCTTCCTTTCTTCTCTTCTTTTTCAAAAAAAGCCAATAAATAATAGCCACGTAGAGTTGGAAGTAATGCAGAAATATTGTCAGGCCCTAAATGCTGTGATCGGAGCAGGTGACATAGGTATGAGTCAGGCAAACCCTGGTGTGAGCAGCAGCCTGGCAGATGGCTGGCTACTTCACCACCCGGCTGTAGCTCCCTCATCTGTACTGATCCAGGCTTCCCAGGTGCCAGGAGTGAGCAAGCTGTCATTTACCCAGTGCCTGGCAGCAGCCACACATTACCTGGCTGCTTTGTGGACACTAGTCAAACTCATCCAGGCCCAGTGTCAACCCCTGGGCCCGGAGCCTAGTCATCCTCACAGCCAGACTCATTTCCCAATGCAGGAACAGGACTCGAGCATCAGAAAAGAGTAATACTAATTAAAAAAAAGAAACCAGTAATCTCCAATGACCTTGGGAGTTGAAAAGTAAACATTAGTTAAAGATTGATTTTTTTTTAACTTGTTGAATATATTATCTTAAGCTAATTAAACCATTGAGTAATTCCACATCATCCTGGGGTCTGTTTCAGGCAGGTTCTGGGATGAAAGCAATGCTGGTCCTGCCTGGACAGTGCCCTGCACTCTCCTTCAAGAGACCAGGTGGTCAGGCTGCCTGGATGGAGCATGGCTGCACCTGGGCCTCAAACACACACATGCACACACACAAGTACCCCCTTCCCACAGGGGTATGATCTACACAGATGGGGAAAGCTTGCAAAAACGAAACACCTCAGATGCTTGTACTGAAAACCAAACACATCCTAATACATCCATCATTTTCCAAGGCCGACCTAAGGGAGCCAGGCCAGGGAGAGTAGCTATCCCGTGCTAAAGCTCCAGTTTAAGGTCCCCCGCTCCGTTATGCACAATTTACAAGTCCCGCTGGTATTCACTTCATGACAGTTTTACTCATGTTTAGCCCCACACCATGGTCAAATGCCTGGCAGAGAGGAAGTGAGTGCTCTGTAAGATCTAGTTTATAAAAGAACGTAACAAAATTCTGGAAGGAATTACCTTGCCTTCTGGAAGGCAGTTACCTTGCCTTTAGGTAGAAGAGCAGTTTGCATCCACAGTAGAAAGATGGTCGCTGGTGACAGTAAAGTCCCATCTCCCTGAGAGGGTTTGGTGACAGAGCTTTGGTTGGATGCTCTGACTCAGATCTGGCCCTGCCCACAGCTACTGAGCAATTTCACAGGCTGCCCCTTCCTCAGGGCTGACCCCTCCTGCGTTGCTGCGTTCAGCACACAGCTAAGGCGCCAGTCTGAGACGCTTCGCTAATGGTGCTTAATAGTGGGCTCTGTAAGTCAGTCTCAGTCCTGGGCTCCCCAGAGCACAGAGCATGCAGCCTTCCACACAGCCTGTCCAGCACTACACCATGAGGGTCACTTAAAGGGATGCTTCTTCCTCTGGGTGGGTCTCAGTCCCCCTGCCCGCACATACACCTGTAACACAGGGCCCTGAGTCTAACTCCCCCTCCCTGCCCCTGTCTCTTGGAGAAGATGCTCTCTGTTCCTCTGGCTGAGACTCGTTCTCTGGGAACCCAAGACTTAATTTGCCTCTTTCCTTTGGGGACAAGGTAGAAATGCACAAAGCACAGGGCCTATTGCCACCATGGAGGAAATAAAAAACCAACACACGCAACACACGTAACTAGATCACCGATTCGTCAGCTGGGCACAGCAAGCAGTTTAGCAGAATTCCACCCAAAGGCTCCATCCAGTTACCGGTGTGGATGCCTCTGGACAAGAGCTCTGCTGTGTGAACCTCTCCCTCCATCTCTAGCAAGATGCCTGCCATGTGCACTACTGCCCTTTTCAGTGTAGAATGTGTCTCCAATTCAGCATTCCAGAGGGCTTTGCACCCAGCCAGGGAGAAGGGCAGGGCGGAGGGGAAGAAACAGAGGCTCAGCACCCTGAGGCAATATAGCCTCAATCACCAGAGATTCTGAGTTCGACTCCCTCTGACTCCTGCTCCATGCCTTGAGCAATCTGCTCTTTGTGCACTTGTCCCAGGTGGACTCATGTGGTCAGGAGACAGGGTCAGAGGGCCAAAAATCTCCAGCCTGTATGTGCTGTTGCAAGAACCCCGCTAACTGAAGGCAAGGACCTGACTTCTCGCTAAGGTGTAAATCATCGGTTCTATGTTGTTTGGTATTCCAAAGACCAAGCCTGAATTAGGATGTGGAGCTGGAAGCCCCTGTCCCTCTCCATCTTGGCTGGGGCCCATTTAGCAGCTTCCCTCACAGTAGCATCATCGAAGCCACCAGAACCAGGCTCTTGGTTGTAGACCTTGTCCCAAGATCATCTGCCATGCATTAGCCTCAGGTCTGAAACATACATAAGTGTCCCTCCACTGTCTCTTAGGAAAATGGGCCCCTCAGGAGCCCCAAGTGAGCATGCATTTAACAATCAGACAGCAGAGCCTCCTGGGGCCTCTGCCCCACAATCAGGACACAGCAAAGGCGCATGCAGAAGCGAGCGGGTGTGGCAGGCATGCAGGAAAACCACGGGCAGACTCCAACTGTACCATGCTGTTTGTAGATAGGGGGCTTCCTATAGATGTTATCTTTTACGCCAGTGTCTGGGGAAGAAGGAGAGAGAAGGAGAGAGGTGAGGGTAAGCAGGTAAGCACATGTCATGGGCTCTGCCCCACTGCTTTGGCAGCACCAACAGTCACCCAGATTTACAGCCACCAGAAAGGCTCGGGCACCCGGCAGGTGGCTGATGCTGAAGCCCACACCTCTATCAAGCACCCCCACTCCAGAGCCACCCCCAATCTGCAGGAGATGGGGAGAGAGACAGGTAGTCAGGGAAGGTGGCAAGCAAGAACCTCGGGACCACCAGGGTATAGCTAGCTCAGAAAGCCCCCTTTCTCCATCCTCTTCCCAAGAGGACAAAATGTCCCGCTGGTGTTTGTGGGGCTTTGGGAGAACCTCAAACACACATTAGTTTGGGGGATATGCAAACCCACCGATGAGTTTTAAAAAGCTCAAGGTTTGGGGAGCAGTGAAGAGGCTTGGCAGATCACAGGACACCTGCTGAGTCAAGGCAGCTGAGGCACCTGCTCTGACACCTCAGGTGTGGCCAGACATCGTCAGGGTCGACAGAGAGCCAGGGCCTACCTGGGACATGGAAGTGGCGCGGCGCCTGCTGGTAGGTGGAGGAAGGAGGCCTGCTGTCCGACAGCACTGAGAGACTGGGGGTGCTGCGCCCACTTTCGCTACCTCCAGATGGAAGGGCAGAGATGGCACGTGAGAGGAGGGAAAAGCAGAGCAAACTATTTCAAGCAAAGGAGCTGGGCTCCCATGAGTCCTGACTCTCCTTCCTGCAGGAGATCCAAGCCTTTGGTCCAGGGATGGGGGGACTGTGGACCTCAGAGATTTTTCTAGACTGGGCCCCATGACTTGTTAATCCAACCTTGAGTGGAACCTGCTTGGTGGCCTTGGAAAAGAGCAGTGGTGCCAAGGATCAAGAATATGTTAGTGCATGAGGGGTGCACCTGGGGTGGGTCCTGGTATGCACACTCTGCTGGGGTCATGCCAGGGTGAGCACACCCTGTCAGCTCACCTAAACCAGGGCCCACTCCCCAGTGTCCTTGCGTATAAGCTACGCCTGCCTCCCAGATTGTCCTGTGTATAAACTAGGCCTGCTTCCCCTATTGTCCCTGTGTATAGACTAGGCCTGCTTCCCTGATTGTTTTTGTATATAAACTAGGCTTGCCTCCCAGGCTGTCCCTGTGTATAAACTAGGCCAGCCTCCCTGATTGCTCACTTTCTTCAAGCATCCACGAATTAGTCATCTGAACAGGCTAGAATGGATCAAGCACTTCCTTCAAAGCCTGAGTAGAATTTTGCCAGCTCCAGCATGGCAGGTGGTCCTCAGTCTTCGTTAATTCTGGCCTGACTTCTCACCTCCTGTGGAGCTGTGGCTTCTGCTTAGGAGGAGGTTGGATCATCAAGTCACAGGTGGACAGAGACAGAGAGCTGCAGGTGGACGCCCCTGCCCCTTACTCAGGAATGACTGATGAGCAGAATGCAATGGACACTGGACATTTGATGAGGAGGAATGCAGCTTGTAGTGAGATAGCCCCAGGACACATGTCACCTCTCCTGTTAACCTCAGGAGCCCTACTGACCCGATAGCAGATCAGGGAAGGAAGGGGCACTGGACTTGAGAACCTCCCCACAGAGTAGCAGGCCAAGCAGTAGGAACCTCCAGTGTCCTCACCACGAAACAGAAGCCAGGCCTGGAAGTGGACCTGCCATAGACTGGAGGGAGCTGGACAGACAGGCTTGGTGGGAACTTGTGCCTGGTGGGATGAGCCATGGCTTCTCAGATGTTTAGAGGGGCCAAAGACCAAAGGGACCTGAAGCCCAGCCATGGTGGACCTGGTGACCCTTTAGGCCTACTTCACACCTGCCCTCAAGGGCCTCTAACACGGACCACTGAGTTCTGCCACCTTGGTCAGTCCTTGCCTGAGACACCACCACTAACCTCCTCCATCCCCTGCCCCACAAGCCAGAGGCTTCCCCAGGCTGCCCACTGGCCTGGGCTCTGCCTCGTCTGCCAAGCCTTGAGGAGGGCACAGCCACTGAAGCCTTTCCCTCTGCACTGGTGCTGCTGTTCCCGTGCAGCTGACAACACACGTGGCTGACCTGGACCCCACAGTGTGTCCACAGCAGCCGTGCAGGGTGGGCACTTCTGGTGCCACCTGCTGTGGAGGTTAAGGAGCCATGTTTTGTGAGCCAGGCTCACTTGGTGCTATGAGGTTGGCTTCCTCCCTGGGCCTTGGAGGTAAAGACCCCAGGCCATTGATGCCACCTGAGGGCCTGACTGGGGGTGACAATGGCAGACAAAGAGGCCTCTTCTGGTGAGGCTCATTGCTCCTCCTGGAGGGGGTCACAAACAGGGGGGCTTTTGATATTCTTCCTTCTGGGAGAGCCCTGTGCGTGGATGGGCAACTCAGGAGACTGCTCTGTCTTCTATTTAATGTAAACAAGTGTTTAATTTTAGGATATTTTAAAGTAATTATAGAGGGTCACTATCGACCCAACCCAGCTTCCATGCAGTACTGAAATTTGAACTCAGGGCCTTGTGCTTCCAGGCAGGCATTCTATCACTTGAGCCACGCCCCCAGCCCTTTTGTGCTGTAGTTATTTTCAGATGGGGCTTGTGGTTTTTTTTTTTTTTGCCTGGGCTGGTCTCAGACTGTGATCTTCTTCTTTACGTATCCCTCATAACGGATTACAGGCATGAGTGCCCCTGTCCAGCCCTCCATCCCTAACTTCTGACATCCCTCCGGTGCCTGGGTTTCCATCGTGCTGCCTCAACACCACACTTTATCTGGATTTCAGCTGTTTTCCCCTAACGTGCTCTTTCTGTCTCAGGATAGCACAGTACACTGGTTGTCACATGTCTTTAGCTCCTTTCTGCTATGACAGGGCAGGGGTTTTGCAGAATGTCCTTCAGCTGCGACTTGTCTGATATTTTCCCTGCATGGATCTGGGGAGAAGGCACACAGATGTCGGCCATCCTCGTCCATGGCAGTCAGTACCTGCTGTCTGCAGGATGCTGTGCTGCTGCTGATGGCTGGGTAGGGGTAGCACTTGCTAGGACCCACCACTGCAGAGCTGCTCTTTTCCTATAATTGTCCCCTCTTTGAGGGCCACCGTGTACAGCCCACACTTGGCCATGGGACCCAGGATCCCATGCAGTACTTGGAGTTCTTCTGTGTGGGAGGCTTCTCTCTTCTCCCCCACGTATTTTTGTGTTGGTCCAATCCTTTCTTTGCTCCAGTGTTGGCTCGAGGACATCATGTCACAATTAGTTTTACAATCCCATGTGACATTGTTCATTTCGGACTCCAGTGGCTCTGGTTTTGTCCTTGGTGGGCTTCAGCTGGCTCTGGTTGAACTTTCTCAAGGTCACCAAAGCAAGTCTGACTCACAGCCAGGGCCTTTGAGGATGATTACCAAGACAAGGGCAGGTTTCCACGTGGTGCCACCTCCTATCTGAGTCATCGACTCCAGCCTCTGTGAGGTTGAGGGCTTGCAGGTTAGAGTCCCATTTTAGAGCCGAGGGAGGGGACGCTTACCAAGATGAAGAGCAACTAAGGACATAATGTTGTGGGGGAGGTGGACCTTGATCCTGGCTCCACATCTGAGACCCTTTGTCTCCCTTTCCTTTTCGTGGCCGTGTGGAGTGGGAAGGCTCAGTAGTCAGCAGGCTTTGGCTGCCTGGACAAGTGGCTTCAGCAGCACTGAGTCCCTTGGAACCTCATGTCTGTCTGTCCTGATGCCTGATCTTTAATAGGTGAGAGACAGGCTTAAACTTTAACCACCCCATGAGACACACCAGAGACTGAAATTCACGCTAACATGCAAATGATTGCCACCAGCAGTGGGTCTTGGTGGAGGTTGGTCCTGGGCCCTGAGATAAAGGGGGAATATGTATCTAGGCTGGGTGGGAAGAGGGGAGAGAAGTGAGGGGTCCTGCCAGCTTCTGGCCAGGCTGGGAGAGTGTTGGCTGGGGTGAGGGCATTGTCCAACAGGAAGTGTCCACTGAGCAGAGCCAAAGACCTGAAGATGCCCCAGGAAGGAGTGGGAAGGGCTTTCCTAGAGTCGGAAGATGCCAGCCTGTGTCAGCTGGGAGGCAGGCATCTGAGTGCCCCAGCTTGCTCTAGCACAGCCTCCAAGATGGTCCACCAGCACCCCAGGTGACTCATGGGCGAGGGACTGGGGAGGAAGCCTGTTCCTGGGCTCTGCTTTGGGCTCTTGACCAGACACTTCTTTCTGGGCCTTGTTCTCCTCTGGGGCAAGTTCTGGGAAGAGCTGGATGCTCCCAAGTCACTGACAGCCATGGAAGCCAGGAGAGGCAGAGCTGTGAGCTGGGCTCCCCATACCAATCCCATCAAGAAGGGCAGAGGTTTTCCTCTGATTTCTGAGCAAAGGGTACTGGTGGCCAAACCAGAGTAAGGACTAGCACCAAGTCACAGTGCCCTGTCCCCCCTACAGGGATGGTGCCTCCTGACCCTGTGGTGGGCTGGCCTGAGGTCTTCTGAACCATGTTTTGGTGGATGGGTGGGGCCTCTGAGTTTTCTTCCCTAGGGGATGGGAGGAAGGGGCTGTTTGCCTTCCCCTCCCTCCCTGGCTCTCTCTCCTGGACTGAGCATGGGAGCTGCCTTCTGGTTGCTCCCAGAAAGAGCACTGTAGACTGTGCTACTGCTCAGGGGCAGCCCTCAGCCCAGGTCTCATCTGACCTTTCTCCACCCTGGAGTGGTAAAAATTCAAGGGTGGAGACTCAGGAATGGGCCAAGGAGGAGAGTTGCCAGGTCAGGTCTGGTCCCAGTCCCCACATAGGCTGCCTGGGGAGTAAGGAGAATGCTGCAAAGACAGCCAGTGTCTACACCTGCCCTTGCTTCTGACCACAGCCTGACCACAGCAGGGCCAGCCTGCTGTGGAAAGCCAAGGAAAGCCAAGGTCCAGGGCCCTCTGACAAGGACGGAGCAGTGGCATTGACCTGGGAGACCTGTGGCTTGTCCGAGTTCAGGATTCACTCGGATTTTGAGAATGGCCCTCTCTTTGCTACTCCCACGGATACATGTGATAAGGCCTTAGCCACTGTCCCCCAGTTCTGGGGATGTGCCACCATGGGTACATTTTTCTCTCAGGACTCAACCCTGACCAGAGACCAGGAGCTGCAGGGCCAGACTCAGGAAGGGGCAAGGAAGGTGGGACCCGTGTCCAGGAGTCTTCTCAGTGGACTAAGGGTGAAGCGAGCAGTGAGGGCACAGGTAAGAGAACGGACCCATCTGCTGGCCATTGATGCTGGGAGCAGCCAGCTGCATCTGCCCCACCGTCCACTCCCTGATAAGACTGTCAGAGACTTCCCACCCCTTGGTGGTAAGGACAGGAAACTTAGCCTGTCACTGGGATTGAAGAGGACCTCATCACCACACCCTCCAATGCCTTGGGAATCTTTTGTGGTGTCTCCATCATCTGAGCTGTGTAACAAAAATGCTGCAAATGGGACTCTTTAACAATGGGCACTGATTTCCTCATACTTCAAGGCCAAAAGTTGCACATTGAGGCCCAGCTGGGTGGGGTTTCTGTGTGGCCTCTCTTCCGGGCTTGTTGATGGCCTCTGTCCCCATACTGCCTTTCCTCTGTGGTGCAGGGAGAGAAGCCCAGGACCTCTTCCTCTTCTTACAAGACCACCATTTTTAGTGGATGTGGGGTCCACCCTGTGACTTCACTTAACCTTGACCACCTTCATACACAGTCACGTGGGGACTAGGACTTCATGTGATCTGGCAGTGTGTACCACTCAGACCTTCACATAGAGGAAAACATGAGGTGGCCATTCTGTTGGGGTTCATGTGTGTGTGTCCATGCAGAGACATGGAGGTGGCTGGCTCTGTGTCCTTGGAAGAGCTAAGGGTTGGAGCCATCTAGGCAAGTCCTGGCCCTGCCACCTGGAGGCCATGGGCATCATGGCCTGCTCTACCCAGCTTCTGGTCTTGTAGTCCCTTTCCTACCAGCACTCATGCCCCGGGGCTGACATGGAAATGAGGATGCAATGACTTGGATGAGGCTCTGAGCCCAGAGCCAGGCTCAGCGTCTAAGCCCGCTCCCTCCAACTGTCCTGCATGACAAGTCACCTGCACTGTCCTTCCAGGAACACAGACACACCAACAGGAACAGAGCAGACGCACAAGACACACACAGCACAGGTGTCAGACAGAGGGTTCCGGAAGCCATGCGGCGACAGGGGATGGGCACCCCCCCCACCCGCAGCACTGTGTGCCTTACCTCGGAAGTAGGGGATGTAATGATGTCTGAACACGGATGTAGGGCTTGGGTGTTGGGACAGGGACAGGCAGCTACTGGTACCAACACTTGCAGTACCAGCTGCGGGCGACAGAGAGCAATCAGTAACCCTGGGCTCCCCGACCACAAAGCCACCAAATATTCCTAGTCCCCACTGCTCTAGGAACATTTGTGCCTCCTTTCTCTAGGAATACATGTCTTTTAGGTGAATGAGGGTCATCACTGGGCTGTGCTCCACTCTCCTCCAGGGGTGGAGAGGAGGCCCTGCCTCTGAGCCCAGTCAGGGCTGCTGAGAGCCCTGCCTGTCGCTCACTTTTGAGGTGTCATTGGAATCAAGGTCAGATGGAGGGCAGCTGCCAGAAGTCAGAAAGTGGTCTGTCACTGACATCCTCACAGGCTTGCCACCCTGGACACAAATTGTGGGTCTCCGGGGTTTACCTGGGGCTAAGCAGTCAATAGCCAGGCCATCCATGTTACCTGATATTTAACAGCCAAGTCACAAGGGACCTCAGGAGAAGGGTTCAGTAAGTCACCACTGCCCACTCATTGACTTTCTCTCCTGCTCACCCACTCACTGATTCACTTGCTCGCTCATTTACTCACTCACACACTTGCTCATTCACTCACTCATTCATTCACTCACACATATTCGCTCACTTACACACTCACTCGCTTACTCACATACTCACACACTCACTCACTTGATCACACACTCGCTCACTCACACACTCAGTCACTCATTCACTCACTCACTCACATACTCGCTCTCTTCCCCACTCCCCCACTTTCTAACCCTTACTCAGCAGGATACTGGCACATTGCAAGGAGTCAATGAAAATGACTTTGCAAATGAATGAGTTTAGATTTTTCCATGAAGTTTGCAAATTAAGAGCTGCAGTTCATGATGTGAAAATGGGGTCATGCACAGCTGGCCAAGAAGGAAGCAGCTTGGAAAAGTCCCCCAGAAAGGCAGCATGTGTGTGCATCGTCCCCGTGGCTTTGACTTCCTCTGGGGGTGGGGAGTTGAGGGGTTCCAAAGCCAAGGGAGAGCAATGCACAGCTGGGTGCAGGCAGGGATGAGCTGGCGGTAAAAAGGACCCTGCACAGGCCTCTCTCCTGGCTGGGAGGGACATGGTGGGGCTTCTCACCAATTTTCCCGTGAGGACCCTGTCTCAGGGATGACCCTCCAAGCAAATGCATATTCTGACTTCATTTTTTGGCCACAGACTTTTTTCCCACTGCTCCAGTCTTCCCAGCCCCATGTGGGCCAGGAGCAGGCTGAGTTCTGGCTGCCTGCGTTTGTTGCTCTTACCGCTCAACAGCTCCACTTTGACACGTGAGCTTGTTCTATATACTCAGTGTGTGTTCCCAGGAAGTGCGCTTCACAGGTGGCTCCTCTAATCTATGGGTAACCAGCTGCCCCAGTCCCCCAGGCATGAGGCGGTCCTTTTCTTATGTCACTAAGTGGCTGTGCTGTGCATTGCCTGCCCACTGGCAATGCCACCCCCTTCTACCATCTTTCTGGTTTCATAAAGAAGCCGCTTTAAATCAGCAGAAGTACAGCTTCATCAGATGTCAAAGGAACTAGGGGGGCAAGTACCTGGACGGCTGTAGTGCTGGGGTGACCGTGAGGTCGGGGTGTAGCGCCCAAGGCTGACGGAGCCGGCAGAGCTGGGGCTGGAGGTCCGGCACTGCTTGTAGGACCGGTCATCTTGGTCCCCCTGGGTGAGAAGACACAGCCAGTGAACACCCGAGTCAGGAGCACTACCCACCCCTGACCACCCCCTCAATGTTTGCCCTCCTGACTCCAGGGGCTGACACCACGTCGCCTCAGATGGAATCCCCAGCCCCTGCGGCACATGTGTCAAGGCCAGGTGGGACATGGCCACAGTGCTGACATGCCTCTTAGGCCTGAGCACGGTTCCTGTGTCCGTCAGGTGCCTTTCAGGTGTGCCTCCTGTGGCTGGGGCATTGGGGGTGGCAGAGGCACCTGGCTCCACTTGCATCTTCTTGTCCCTCCTGCCTGACACTCCTTGGCATGCAAAGCCACTACAATATAGTTTGAGAGCCACTGAACTGCCCCCAGTTCCCACGGGGGTCCCTCCATGGGAGCTAGGGGCTCCACACGCTCTGAGGCACCTTCAGAAGGAGGCAGGTGCGCCCTGGAGCCCTGAAACCCAAATGACAAGACCCAGAAACACTGACAGTAGAGCCCCTATAGGATCAAGGAAGGGGGCTGCTGGGAGTGGTCGGAGCAGCAGCATGGGATGACATGGCACCATGGCACCGGGGGAGCAGCCAGGTGACCTGGGTAGTGCCACGCCTGTCCAGCCTCCCTCTGAGGGGTGGATACTGCTGCTTCACCCCTTGTGGCACTGCTGGGATAGGCTGGGGTCTGGTCTGGTGTTTGTGGCTGCCCTGGCCTGCATCCCTCAGCGATGCTGACCCTACAGCTTGCCTGCATGCCCACCTCCATACCGTCCCAGGTCATTTTCCTAGCTGTGTTTCTCTGGCGTCAGAGGTTGTCCCACCTCAGCTCTGGCATTCCCTCCTGGACCAGTTGGACCCCTGTTGTCCCTCTACCTCAGAGCATCCTCTGAACAGCCCACCTGCTGTCCTGCACTTTACGGTGTCCTGTCTCCTGGCCCTGCCTGGATTTGGGGGTTACTGGCTATAGTGGGTTGAGAAACCTGGCACCAGGCTGTCACTTGCACGTTGTGTCGGGCACATCTGGATCCAGGGTCTGATGCCCAACTTTAACTGGCTATAATCATGGCATGCCCTGCCTAGTGCACAGCAGTGACAGGGATAACATGGAAACTTTCCTCCCCAGTCCCGAGTGCTATTTCCAAGGGGACAGTGAAGGAAGCCAAGTGGAGGAACCAGACAGGGGTTCTGCAGGAGGGTCTGATTCTGAAGCTACAGGAAGCGAGGGGAAGGCTTTGGCCTGGGGAGATAAGCCATGTCTGCCTGGGACCACCCCTGAGGGCTGTATTGGGAAACCCCACTGAGGATGGGGTGGGAAGGAAGCAGGCAGTCTCAGTGATGGCAGCTGAAGTCCTGGCTACAGTGACCATCGGACCAGAATCCAGCAGGCTGTGCATCCTCTCAGTGACACAGGTGTCCAGCCTGGGATCATAGCCTTAGAGAGAGTTTTGCAGTGAGGCCAGCCTCTTTCTAAGATGGGGTTCTGTCTTGGGCAGAGCCTAATCTCATCTCTGATTGGGGCCAGCTAACATCCTCCTGTGGAGGACCCCTGGACAGGGAATGAGCTGGTACAAGAATGCCTGACTCGGCACTCAAGATGGCCAACAGCCACTGTGGTTTAGTGACTTAAGGAGTAACCACGATGGGAGGGCCAGCGGATAGTGTCTCTGGGCAAGTGGCCTAGAGTGAGGGGCCAGGGAGCCCAGGAGTGAATCGCCATCCAACTAGAATCTTCCTCTGACTTTCTATAGCTGTGACCCTGGAAAAGTTATTTGAGTTCCCGTGCCTCAATCTCTCCATTGGTATAAAGTGGGAGGCATTAGAGAAGTTACCTGTGGGAGCTGTCATGGGGTAAAGGAGCTCCTAAGTATCAAATGCTCCCAACAGTGCTGAGCACAGAGCATTCGAGGGTATCTGTGGCTACTGTTCTTCCTCCTGCCTGCCATGACGTCACTCTCGCGCTGCCTGGCTCTACAGTGACTAGGGACCTATCGTAGCTGTCTCTGTCACTGATTCATAGTGAGGCAGAGGAAAAATTCCCGTGTTGCTCATAAGGAAGGTGACTTGATAGAAACACTTTCACGGTGCCCATCCTTTGAGGCCGGATGCTTCCTGTATGCCCTGCTCAGGGCTGTGAAGTAGACTTGAGCTGACCCAGGGTAGCCACAACCCAGGCCAGGATCTGCTCAGTGACTCCCGTGTCCCGGGTGTCATGGTGGTGGGTGGGGAGACACACAGGGAAGCATGCAAAGGAGATCTGATTACAAAGACGACCAGCACCACAGCAGGCGCCCAGCTCTGGAGGCCAGTCTAGGTCACAGCCAGGGCCCTGGAGGCCCTTTGGTGCTGCACTGGTTGTCTTTATAACCTAGCGGGCAGGTGGGCAGGTGGGTAGGTGGGCAGGTGGGCAGGTGGCAGCACTGAGAACACACAGGGCACAGGCACGGAGTGGGTTACCTCAGTCGGCGTTGGCGAGAGCAACTGAGGCAACTGTGGACACAACACACAGAGTGGACGGTTAGCGTGGTGCCAGGGGTCACTTTGAGGTGAAGGGCATTTGGGTTAATGTGTAGGAGACATGGAAGCCTACATTCTTGTGGTGCACCTGAGCCCCACACAGGAAGGAACCCCCACCACAAGAGACACAATGCAGGCCCTCAAGACTTCTTGGTGGAGAAAGTTGGGGCCATCCAGACAAAGGGGCCCTTGGGAGTATGTTTGGTGCCTCTGAGCCTGCTGCCTTCTCCAACCAGCCCACCCGCTATCCCCACAGCTCTCCGTGGAAACCTAGTTTTCCAAAGACACTTGGCAGTTCAGGGCACAGGGTCCCCTTGGCTTTCTCTAGAAAGGAGGAAGAGGAGCTGGCAGAAAGAGGGTGACTGGGGGCCTCAGGGTAGGTGAGGTCTGGCTCTGTTGGTGGGCCCTGGGCTGGAGGAGAGGCTGCTGGCCTTCCCCAGAGATAGGCCAGGTGATCACCACCAGCTACCTGCAGAAGTGGAACTCGGCCCAGGAGGCAGCCTAGGGCCAAAAACCAGCACCATCTTGGGGTCTGGACGAGGCTTAGGGAAGAGAATGTAGGTCCCCACATAGCCAGAGAAGGCACCCAGTTCACAGGAAAAATGGAATTTTAGCATATGATACAGCCCCAGCTGGAGGCCCTGAAACCCTGCTCAAGTGGGAGGTGGCAAGGGAAGGTCTCAGGTGAGGCTATGGAGGCCAGGGCAGAACCCATTCGGGCTGTCCTCTGGCTGCTCTCCCAGGGAAAGTGCATTGCTAGGAAGCACACCTGCTGAGGTTTCTCCAACACACCTGGACAGGTGGATGGAGGCTGTGTTCCTTGTATGTCAGAAGTAAGTAAGTGCTCTCACTTACTTCCCTCCTCAGGATGAAGGGAACTGTGTCTGCCCACCTTCCCACATCAGTGGGCGACTAAGGCTCAGAGAGGTGACACAGGTCCCCATGCAACTGGTTAGTGGCTTTTCCCTCTGCTGGATCTCTCCTTTGTGACAAGCCACTCTTCTACTGTCCAGCACCAAGGCTACATAGGCATCGTCTCTACCACCCACAGTGGACACTCACAGTGACCATCGCCAGCTGAGGTGAGAGGGGGTGAAGGCCACACACAGGGAGCAGCGACCAGAGTCAGGCCACTTGGGCCCACATAAGCCATAGCTGTGCCTCACTCAGTCTTGGTGCCCTCACTTGCTCCTGGGGACAATACTTCCCAAGGTGCTGGGCTGTCATACGTGGGTGGACATGAAAACCCAGCTCAATGGCAGATCGAGAATGGGGCAAGAGAGGACAGCAGTGGTGATGCAGTCAGCCCTCTGTGGCCTACCTGAGGAGGGTGTGAAGGATTTCTGACCCTGAGTTTGTCCTGGGCCTGGGAGGAGGTGGACTTCCTGGTTGAACACCTCTGTCCTGGGACAGCCTGGCCTTGCCCCTGCTGAGGCAGGGACTGTAGGGCCGAGTGGGTAAGGTAATTCCAAGCCACATGCACAGCCCTCCTCCCACTGCCCCACCCTCTGAGGGACAGGTCCTAGCATCGGGAACCATCCATGGTTCCCACGTGCGCTGTCATTTGGGAGTGTGGCCCCAGGTCCACTTGTACTCCATGCCACACTCTGTTCATGAGCTTGGTGACATCGTGACCGTGAGTGCAGGAGGAGGGTGTCAACAGCCCAGACCCTCACACATCACCTCAGCTCACACTGGCCCATCACAGCATAGCTTCCCGAGGCCCCAAAACAACACAAGTTCTGCAGTCAGGAACGTATCCCAGGACTCAGAATAGAGCAGGGACTTGAACCCAGCTCTCTAAACTTGAATCCCGTGTCCTGGAGGAAGAGTAAAGGAAATAGGTAGCAGGTGGTCTTCAGGGGAGAAAGGCTGCATTTGGGTCTCAGAGGGATCAAAGCCAAGTCTCTCCTCTCTGTCCTTCTCCCAGTGTCCACTGCAGACCAGTGGGATGCTGCAAATCACACTCTGCTGGGTGCATAGTGGGTGGGTACACCTCAGGACACCTTCACCTTCTACCCCCTCCTCAGGTCCACACGCATCAGGAGGGTCACCTGTTGTCCCTGAGCTCTTCCCCTTCTCCCCAAGTGGCCCTCAAAGCTTGCAGGTGTGCCCAGCAGCTGTGACCTGAGAAGGGCCAGCTGGGCCTCCTGGCACCATCACATATGCATGACACCTTGGGGGTCTCAGGCCTCACTCCTAACGAGGCCCTGCAGAAGTCCCAGAATGAGGAATTCCAACCAAGGGAAACAAGTCTGGAAGGGCCAAGTTTTCCCGCTCCAGGGCAGCACCCACACCCTGGCCTCTCATGGACAAGCGTGTGCAGGCAGCAGAAACTGCTCTTATTATCCTAGGCAGCTCCAGCCACACTGAGATCTTAAAACCACAAAAAGAAAAGAAGACAACAACAAGGAACTCCGTGGGAAATGGAAAAGGGCAGCCTCGAATAAGAAATAATCCAGTAAGAAAGGACGCCATCCTGGGAACGCTGGGACATAGTGTCTGTGGCTCAACCAGGCTGGTAGAACTGGCTCAAGGCATCCACAGGAGAGAGGGGCGTGCAGGCCAGAGGGGGTGGGCATGTGGCCAAGGGTTTTGGAAAAGGAAAACAACACACTTCATGCATCCTGAAAATACTCCAATATGCAAGAAAATCCAGGGATTTTCACTGAGTGTCTATCCTTTTCCCCAAACACTGGCATACCTCTACTTCTTGCTCCATTTAAGGAGACCCTTCCAGACTCACACATTCCCCCAGAGGGAAGCTTGGGGCCAGGGTACACTGGGAGTTATTTAAATCAGGTGGAACAGGTCACTGGGAGCAAAGGAGGCAGAGAACAGTGGAGGGGACTACACAGCTCTGTCCTGTCTGAAAGGACCACACGTGAGATGCTGCCTGTCCGTCAGGGCCTGCACTCTGAGCACCTCACCCAGCTGTAAAGCAGGATCATACCTCGCCATGGCTGTGCCTGTCCCCCGCAGAGTGGCTGATGTAGGGTGAATAGGAGATTAGGTCAGGGCGGTCGATGTCGTAGATGGCCTTATTTTTGGGAAGAGCAGCCAAGTCCCTGTAGTCCAGGATCTCATCACCAAGCTTTGCCTGGGAGGGAGGAGAGCAGGGGAGGGGCCTCAGCGAGGCCCACAGTCAGGGCCAGCAAGACCATGGGTTGGGAGTGAGGACAACTGAGGCTGCAAAGCCCTGAGCACACCAAGCTCACTGCAGTCAGGGGACTCCGATCTGCAGCCAGCCACCAAAGGGCCAGTGGCCTTAAGCATAGGTCTTTTTTGAGCTTCAGTTTCCTTCTCTATGAAGTGGAGAATGATCATGAGGATGGCCCCAGGGTCAGAGGTCAAGCCTGTGATATGTTGGCATAGGGTCTGGTGGATGGCGAGACTCAGTCTGTGACCTAAACACACACACACATCCATGTCACATGCACGCCCTGTGTATGCACAGTGCACACATGGGCACACATAGACCATGCCATCTCGGGCTGTGGAGGGTCACCATGCCCTGCACCTGCTTCCACATCCGAATGCCCACACGCTTGCCCAGATACACTTCCATGTGCTCCCACACATTGGCACGCCTATTGCATACCAGGACTCCCTCCTGCACACACACGCATTCACCCCACCCCACCAACTGAGCACAGAGTCCCACAGCCAGAAGACATGGTAGCTGTTCGGCTGTGGAGTTTGTGCTCTCGGTCATGTCACACACCCTCTCGAGGGAGGGTCTCTCAAGCTCCAGCTACACCCCTGCTCTCAGTTCCTGCCTCCAGGCAGCCCCATCCTCAGATGGACCACCTCACTTATGCCCCTAAGCTTGCTCTTCAGGTTCTCAGCCTATTTGCCCTAAGTTGTCTCCTCCCCAGCCCAGGACCTTCCAGGCTTAGCTAAGACTCCTTTTTCTCCACGGCCCTATAGCCCCCAGCCCACCTCCTCCAGGAGGACTGCCCTGACCACCAGATTCACTCCAGGACTCTCCCGGGACAATAGCCCTTGGGCTGAAGCCTGCTGAGTTCCGTGTGTAACGACAGTGAAGGCCTGATCCTTTTGGAACCCAGGGTGGGTGTCAAAAGACCCGAGGTGAAATCTCGAGGCACAGTACAATTTGTAGTCATGCGTGTTGATCCCCGTCAGGACCTTCCAGCTGCTTCCTCTGTTGTCAGAGGAAATCTGACTGGAGACCATGGGTGAGCAGGTCCTGTCTACTTGCTAGTCTCTTCCACCCCACTCACTTGCTCCCGCCACTCCTTGTGGTTCTCAACACTCAGATCTGAGGTGTTGCTCACTCTGTTCCCTTCCTGTGACACACCTTGCCTAGGCTGCCTGGCTCATCCCTCTTCCCGACTTGACCAAGGTCCCTTCCAGGATTCATTTCTGGGTTCCCCTTCCCTACCTGGGTTGGATCCTTCTTTCTTTAAGTAAGGGCTAATCTTTGTCTAGTGACCCTGAGGTTCCCCAGCCAAGATTAGTGGGACCCAAGACCCTATTTGCTTTGTCATCAAGTCCTTCTTATGAACTCTGGGCTCAACCCAGCCAAGGTGCTCAGGACATCCTGCCTGCCCCAGTGAATTCAAGCCAGTCGGGCATTTGCAAAAGTGAGTGAGCTCTCAGCTCGTCGTCTCCTATAGGAAGGGACCACCATCCTGTGTCTTGTTCTCTGCTGGGCTTCTGTGAGCATCATGCCAGGCTTCAGGGGATGCCCCAAGGCCTGCAGACACCACACCTTCCCCACTCACCTGCACTGGGCTTTGCTAGCAACCTGGCCCTGGCGTGTCCTCTCATTCCTTGGGCTCCACGCACAACCCAGCCCCTGGCAGGAGTCTGAGCACGCAGCCTGCATGGTGCCAGCCGCCCCCCAACTGCCCAGCCGCAAACCTGACAGGTTGCTAAGCGGCCTCTCAGATCCATCTCCTCCATGCCAAGTCCTTGGCCGTTGCCATGACAACTGGCTATGCTCTCTAATTGGTCAAGGCTGGGGTGGTGTGTGTGGACAAGTGTTTTTTTTCTTTGCTTTGTTCTTTCCCACACTCCATGCAGCAAAATAAATGGTAATATGGCCACACGTGATGTTACGATTGCAATATGCACCAGTCAACAACAGAGCGTGGCGACCTTGCTCTTATACCAGGCTTCCTCACTGCTTTATCACCATGGCCAGAGAAAGGGGACAAAACGCTATGTTTAGTGTGACTCCTTATTGTCACACTGACTCATAGGGCACAGCAGCAGACCTGAGACAGGCAGGGCTTGCGCCATCAGGTAACCCCTCTTGGTGAAGAAATTAGACCTTGTGCACTGCCCGTGGGGGCTGACATCACCCTGGTTTGGGAGAGGGAGCTGGAGAGCCTGGTCTGTGGCCTTTCTGGTCCCTGGGGGACATGTGCGTCCTTGGGTCATGGTTCCAGCATGCAGAATCTGTATGATGTAAGGAAGTGTGTGTGTCTTGCTGGAGTATTGCAACAATGCAGCCACATCACCTGTGATGTCCACATCGCTATTTGGCTCTGGGGCTATGACAAGGCAGGGCAGCCTGTGCCTGGGGCCTGTGCTGCCCTCTGCCGGGCCCTGGCTCTCCAGGCTCCCTCTGTGGTGCCAACCTAAGAACTGGCAGAGCCTGGATTCAAGTGATTTGTTCAAGGCTTCTATTTAAAACTGGGACTTCTGCGAGCAGGAAGTTGACCCAAGCTGAGCACAGCGTGACATGCTTCAACCTACCTGGGTCTAGTGCACCCCCACACTCCTCCCTCACCAACCTCACACCTTCCCCAGCCTGCATCTCAGTGCCGGCCCCACCCCGCCACTCCTGTGGCAGCAGGATCATGCTGTCTAGACCAACCACGGTTTGTGCAGCAAATTCCTACGGGAGAAGGAGGGATCTGCCAGGGATGTTTTCAGCAGGGAGCAGTGGGGGCCCCTGCAGACAGTCTGGCCAGGAAGTAGTGTTGGGATTAGGGGCTGCTGTCCCTGCTCACTGCATGATCACGTGACCATCCCAGTGCTAAGCCCTCGCAAATGCTCATTCGTTCCTTTCTCAGCTCACGTTTAGTGAGCAGTTACTACGTGCCGTCAGTCTACGTCACCAACAGCTGCTGCCATGCGTTGAACGCTTATCAGGCACCAGGCCCTATCCTAAGTGCTTTGCAAACCTTAGCTCATTTAAATGTTACTAGTCATTACTATTCTTCAAAATGATGACAAGAGTGTTACAGACTGAATTATGTCCCCCCAAATCCCTGTGACCTCAGAATGTGGCCATGTTTGGAGACAGGGTCTTTAAAGAGGTGATCAAGGTAAAATGAGGTCAGTATGGTGGACTCTAATTTACTAGGACTGGTGTCCTTCTAAGAAGAACAGATCAGGACACAGACACAGGGACCACATGAGGACATGGGGAGAAGACACCAAACAAGCCAAGAAGAGAGGCCTCAGGGGGAGCTACACTACCCACACCTTCATCTCAGGCTTCAGCCCCAGACAGTGAGATGCTACAAGTCCCTTGCTCAAGCCGCAGTCCTGGTTCTTTGTTATGAAGCCCTGGCGAAGTGGTACAGGTGGTGTGCTCGACTTCACTGCTGTGCCAAATACCTGGGAGAAACTGTTTAAAGGAGAGCGATTGATTTTGGCTCAGTTTCAGAGGTTTCAGTCCATGACCAGCTGGTTCCCTTGCTTTAGGCCTGAGATGGGGCAGAGGGTTACCGTGGTGGGGGCATGTGGCAGAGGGTGGCTATTCAGGGCAGCCAGGAAGCAGAGCGAGAGAGAGAGAGGAGAGCGAGCGAGACAGGAGGGGGCTGGGGACAGGTACATCTTTCATCTTTTCACGGCACACTCCCAGTGACCTACTTCCCCCAACTTGGCTCCATCTTCTACAGTTCCATCATGTCCCAATAGTCTATTCAAAGTTTGGATCCATCAATGGATCACTCCGTGGATGAGGTCAGAGTCCTCATGATTCAACCACTTCCCAAAAGTAGCATCGGGGACCAAGTCTTCAGCACATGAACCTTGAGGGGAGATATTTCATAGCCAAACCCTAACAGATTTAATAACAAGATCAGCAGTGAGTGTTCCCTGAGCCCTTCCTCCAGGCAGGAGCAGAGCACCGAGCCTCACACACAGTAACTCCGTAAGCACCGGACAGCAGGTGAAGGGGCTCCCCATCCTTTAGTCGAGCTCCCAGAAAGCCAGAGAGGGAAAGGCCTCATCCTGGGGCACAGAGTCAGCCTGACCTCACACAGGCAGGCTAAGCCTCAGAGAGGGCATCCCCAAAGAGCCCTGATGTCATCACCCTTCAAGACAGGGACAGGTTACAATAACCCAAGGAGAAGTGCTTGTTATCATCGTCCACCTGTCAGACTATCTGGGAGGGTAAAGGCTGGAAAGACACAGAGAGAGAAGGAAGTCAAATCTCTGTTGTGATGTAGAGAGCTGAGGGTCCTCATGGGAGGGGGACAGCAGAAGTGATTTGTTCCATGTCATCTGCCTTTCTGCCAAGTCCTGGGATCCTTTCCCTCACCTGCACCTTGGGACTCTCTTTTAATGGCAAATTTAGCAAACAGTGACAATAATGACCTCCTATCTTCAATCCAACCACTCAGCGGAAACTGCTGTAACAGTTTGTTAAAATGTTTCCAACTGTTCACACACACACACACACACACACACACACACACACAGTCTTTAAGAAATGGGATGACAGTCTACGGCCATACCACCCTGAACGCGCCCGATCTCGTCTGATCTCGGAAGCTAAGCAGGGTCGGGCCTGGTTAGTACTTGGATGGGAGAAATGGGATGACAGGAGTCACACCATCCTTAGCAGGCTGCTCTCTAGGAGCCCGTCGGGATACATCCCACGTTCACATAAACAGATCTGCGCTGGAGTTCACAAAGCCTGCGTGGTCCTGCCCCGTACTCGGCACACCCTGACTGTTGGCGTCACCGTGACTCCATTTCTGCAGTATTATGGCTTTGAGAGTCACCAGATATCGGGACAAAACTGGCAGTTGTGCTAGGTGCAACAGATACATCCATGCTTTGGGCTTTGAATCCACCTCAGAAAGTCCGCATGGCCTTTGCCCCAGGCAGCCACAAGAGCGAGGCTGCCCCATCCCACCTGTGACAGCATCCTCAGTGAACTCTGCAGTCCCCACAGAGTTCACTGGCTGGGTGACCCCAGCCCCACTTACATAGATCACGCGGCTCGGGGACCCTGAGGTGCTGGAGGCAGGTGCAGAGATGATGCTCTCTGAGGAAGTCCTGGTTTCCTAGAACAGAGAGGGTGGAGACTGAGCCAGTGCTCCATGTCAGGAGCCTTCAGAGGTGTCATCAGAGGTGCCAGCTCAGGAGGTGCTTTTATTTTGTTTGTTTTTTGGCAGTGCTGGGGTTTGAACTCAGGGCTTTGCCCTTGTTAGGCAAGTGCTCTGCCACCTGAACCACACCTCCAGCCCTTTTTGCTTTTCAGGTTTTTTTTTTTAATAGGGTCTCGTGTTTTTGTCTAGGCCAGCTTGGATACAATCCACCTATCTACAACTTCCTGTGTAGTAGGGATCACAGGCACACATCACCACACCTGGCTTATTGGTTGAGATGGGTCCTCGCTAACTTTTTGCCCTGGATTGCCTCCAACAATAATCCTCCTAGCTTCTGCCTCCTGGGTAGCTAGGATTATAGTGTGAGCCACCACATCTGGCCTTTTTTTTTCTTTTTGGTGGGCTGAAGGAGTTCTCAGGATAAACACACAGGATTCGATGAAGGACCAGAAAGCTACAGTCAGATAACACATCAGGCCACACTGTGAAAGGCAAGGGCAATGAGCCCAGGCTGGCTGGAAATGCTCCCACGTTCATGAGAGACCACCTGGGGATGAGCTGTGTCTCGGGATGAGTGAATCAGGGCATGTTAAACCACCCCTCAAGTTGGAAAGCTCAGGGTGCCACTGTCACCACTTTTCTGCTGTGCAGAGAGGTATCCACACCTGGAAAACAGGGGACATGCCGGCTATGTACAGCACTGGTTCCCTAGGCCAGACCTTTTGTCACTGGACTCTTCAGTAAATCAGCCACAGAGCTCTCTGGTCAAGCTTGCTGCAGTACCCTGACCTCACACCCCACACCATTCTCAGTGTCGGAGCAAATTCTCTAGCCCCCATGTGCCCGGACTCGGCCTCCAGTGCCAAACACTTTCACCGTCACATCCTTGGCCTCCTCCTGGCCTCTGCTGCTGCTTGTGGCCTGTACATGTGCCTCCTCACATGCCCTCTGCCATCCAGAGCCCCTGGACCCTCTGTATGCCCTGGGCTGATGGTGACCCTGACATCTGTCTCCTCCTGTGCTCCTCACCCACCTGGTGACTGCATCTGATGTCCATTCGCACCTGCAGGACAGGGCCCACCACCTGGCAGCTCCACTCTTCTCTTCTGGTCCAGCCCTGGCCCCAGAGCCATCTGCCTGCCTGGCTTCCCAGGCATCCTGCTCACCCCATCTGAGAGAAACACACTCTACTCAGGGCCTCTCTGCCTCTCAGGAGTCAATAACCCAGACTTCTCTGTGTGGCCCATGCCCTCCACTGAGCCTCAGTGGCCCTACTGTGGCCTCCCTGCCTCTTTTCCCTCATCAGACTCTTTCTTGCCTCTCTCTGGTAATTCTGCCCAGTCCACCTCAGTGTCCCCACCCTGCAGGGGCGTGTGAGGGGGATCCCTCCAATTCCTATACTGAGGCCCTGCCCTCAGGACCTCAGGTGTGACTATGGAGATAGGGTCTTTAAGGTAAAATGGGGTCCTTGGGGTGGGTGACTCTAATCCAATCTGCCTGGTGCCCTCATAAGAAGAGGAAGTCAGGACATAGACACACACAGGACAATCATGAGAGGACATGGGACGATGGCATCTCAACCAAGGAGGGGGGCTTGGGAGGAGGCAGCCCTCCCACATGGGATCTCAGACTGCAGCCTCCAGTCTCTGCTGTTGAAGGGCCAGGCTGTGGGACGTTCTGCAGCCCTGGGAACTGAGTGTGGCTATGTTGGAACCTCCCCTCGGGCACAGCTACTCCTCCACCCAGCCACAGCACCAGAAAGAACAGGTGGACACCAGGGCCAGCACAGCCACACATGGCAGGGGAGGCACAAACCTGTAAGGCATAAGGCGTGGCCCTTGGGCAGGCCTGACTGTGGATGGGGCTCTGCATCTAGAAGGGAGAGAGGAGGGACAGGCGTGACGTGTAGGTGCCGCCTCTTTATTCACTCGTGCCAGCCACCCCTCTGTGGGCCCCGAGTTCCTGACTCTCTAGCTTTGCTTGGCTCCTCCTGGAGCTCTGTGCTTCCTCAGCCCCCAGGCCCTGACAGCACACTGGAGAGGTGTCAGACCTCAGCCTCTGAAGCCAGCAGGAGCTGGGGTCACGTCACAGCTCAGCTGCCTGAATCCTTGGCCACCCACCACCATGCTGCCTACAGAGAATGTGCCCCACTGTGCCGATGACACGGAGCCTGTGCTGCCCACTGTTCCAGTATACAGACTGTGTGTTTCCCTGGCCCAAATGATGTCAGCATCCATTCCAGGCGTTGAAAACGCCTCCCTCGCTATGAAACAGGGAAGCTTCCAGAAAGCGATTTCCAAGCTTGAGTTCTGGGGCAAGGCATGTGAGGTGGGGTCCTGACGGGCAGAAACATGATGTCCACAACAACATCCCCAATACTGGACACGCCAGAAGGATTATTCCACTATCTCACTCCCCCTGAGTCAGCCCTGCAGGGTGGCACAGGTAGCCACTGTTAGCACCAGTGGGCTCAGGCTGTTCTCAGCATGGGCCTTGGGGCCTGGCTGCTCGGAGCAATGGTGACATCATGGAGTCTCCTCACATTCAGCAACCAGCTCTGCAGGGAGGCCAGGGGCAGGACCACTCCCATGGTCAGCAAGGGGACACAGGGAGCAGAGTTGGGGTTGCTGTCCTAGAATGAAGAGACCAGAGCTGCTCTGACTTCTTCCCCCCACCAGCCCGAAGGGCGTCACAGCGAAACTCAGCACCAGGACCAAGCAAGACGTCTCATTCTGACCCACAGAGATGAGGGCCTGGAGCTCAGCAGCTCCAACAATGGGGAAGCAGCTGCCTTAGTGCTGAAACGGTGACACCTGCTTCTCAGTAAGGTCACATGGGGGGTTGCACTGACTCTGGTACTCACTCATTTCCATGTTACAGCTCAGGGGCTGAGGCCCAGAGAGGGCTAGTGACTTCCCCAAGGTCCCACAGCTGGGCCGAGGCAGAGCTGGACTTCAATACTCAGGCTTGCTGTACCATCCTGGCTGGGCTGAGAGTTCTGTTAGGATATTCTCACTGGCACTCAGCCACAACACCCTGGCAGTCGGACCTTCTGGGGCAGGAGGAGGTAGGGAGTCTCTGAAGCCTGCTTGCTCCTTGCTCAGTGTCTCCCTGCCCCGCAATCTCTAACTTTCTCCCAGGAAATTTGGACTGTGCACTGGAGAGGCCTCTACTGCTTCCCCAAAAGACAAGGAGGTGCCACTGGGGAAATCCACAGCCTGTTGGACCAGCTTGGCCAGTCCAGACTCTCTCCTCTGAAGTCACTCAGTCTCTGGCCAGGCAGGAGCCCTTCTGGGCCAAGCTGTCCCTGATGACGGTGCATGGGCTCAGCTCTGGCCACCCAGCAGCAGAGATGAGTCCCCTGTCCCTGGACAGAAACCGTTGTCCAATCCCCTGTGTGTCCCTCGCTCCTCAGACCCAGGATCCAGAGCCCAGGTCTGGGCCCAGCAAGTCTCAGCCCCACGAAACCCTTGGTGACTCCACCTAGCCAGCCAGGGCCCTCCCTGCACCATAGTCCCGCTAGGCACCCTGCACCTCAGAGCCTCCCTGATCTGTAGCTTTCTCCAGCTCTAGACATGGATCCCCTTGAGGGCAGGGACCCCACAGGTCTTATTCATCTCTGGTTCCAGGCAGCCAATTTCCAAACACACCCACTAGGATCCTGGAGGCTGTGTGTTGAATGTCGCATGATCAAATGCCCCCAGCTGCACTTCGGACAGGGCAGTTAGGACCACACTTTCTGAGGTCTACTGAGCACCCTGTGTAGATGCCCAGTGACATCGAACATGCAAGGGACTCCATGTGGTAGAGGAGGGACGGCCATGTAATCAGGGCTACCTTCTGCACAGCACAAAAAGGTGTGCATACTTCTGCCTGAGCGTTTTTGCGTGGACTGGGTGTTCAGGTACAGCCCACCCTTGTTGGAGAGCAAGTCCCTGGGGTAGGGGGATAGAGCTGGCTTCTCCAAGGTTCTGGAGCCACCTAAAGTGATTACAGTGACAGCTAAGTTCAGATAGCTAAGTCATTTGTCATCTTGCTCACTGGGTAACACAGTGGAGCCACCTCTACTCAGTGACAGGTTTCAGTGTCATTACACAGATGTCACCTCCATGCTCATTTCTCAGGGGCAGTGCCCATTGGAACCAACCAGACTTGCTGGGCTGTGCACCCTCACTTGCTAGCTGGTCATTAAGGGTCAGGTAACACAGGGCAGGGAGGCTCTCCCTCCATCACCAGGCCAGGCCAGGCCAGGCCAGGCAGCTGCTGCCCGTGGGGAGAATCAACTAATAGAAAACCCGAGCCTGGTCAGCCTTGGCATGGTGCCCAGAGAGGAAGGCTGTTTCCAGGCTGCCTGGCCTGAAGGCAGCAAGCTCTCATTTCTAAAATAATTGTTTCAAAATCTATGCAGACAACAGAACCCAGGAAGCTGTCCCGCCTGTACAGGCCCATGAGGACAAGGTCCCCTTTTTCCCCATCCTGGCAGCATCCAGCCTTTAGATGCCCTCCTCCAGATGGCCAGAGACCCAGAGGCAAGCAAGGACTGCCATTGGTTCTGGCGACAGAGGCCACTCCTGCTGGGCCTCCTGCAGCCCTGGGGCCTCTCTCCTCTGCTCCTCTCTCCACCTATGGTCAGGACACCCTCCTTTGCTAGCCTGGATCAGAGTCAGGGGACAGGATGTTCCCCTGTGTGTCTAGGTGTCTGGACACACCAGGCTTTATCCTGAAAGTTCCCTCAGTTGATCTTTGCTGGACCAATGGGACAGCATGAAGGGCGTCCATAGACAAGGGGTCAGGCCCCAGGGTCACTGCCCACTGATTTGTCACACACTCTGAACACCACAGTTGTGACCAGTAAGGGCCCTGTGATAGGCATAGGGATCCCAGTTTGATGAGGTGATGGTGGGAATTCCTCCCCACACAGGATGGGTGCCCAGCCTTCTCCCAACTCCTGGAGTTGCCAGCCTACTCCTGCCTCAGGGTCTTGGTACCAGCTGCTGGTTGCTCCTGGAGTCCTCTTCCCACCCTCATCAAAGGGCTCTGCCTCTTCTTTCAGCTCTCAATTCTGAGATCCTTCCTCTGGAACCTTCTCTGACATCCATCAGGAGGGCTCTCTATTGTCCCTTCTTGCAATAGCCATAGTTCCTGTAACTGCTCCTGCCACATGGTACTTCTTGTCACAGAGGTGCTCTGTCTTGGAGCCCAGGTTCCAGGATGACAGGTCTATCTACCTCACACATGGCTGTACCCTGTGCCTTGTGCACAGCAGGTGCCTGCACAGTCCAGACCTGGACTTGCCCAGAGAGGCCTGCCCTTTGCCCTCTACCTCTGGAAGGGCATCTTGGTCCTTCCTGATAATTGCATCTTTGTTTAGGGAGGGACTGACAACATCTGGCCATCTCAGAGTAGGGGTGGCCAAGTCAGGAAGCCTTTGGGTCTTACCTTATGAGCCAGAAATCAACCAAACAATCATACCTATGGAGCCCCAGTGACCTGGGCATGGAGCTCACTTGGCCAGCAGTGCTCTCTGAGCACTGTCACACATTCACGCAGGGGGTGGCATGCCTGAATCCACAGGGAGAAGAGGGCTGAATCCCTGTGTCTGGACCCTCCTGGACTCTTTCTTTGGCTGATCTCACCATCCTCCCTGTCACAAACTGACTGTGAATGCCAGCAAGAGTTGAGCCTCCAGAGAACTGTTGGACTGAGGGCAGGGGGATCTATGGAATTTGCAGTGGTGTCAGAGTGAGGGTAGTCTTGGGGGCTCTTTGGGGCCCTTCAACTTTGCACTTGTCCCCAAACTTTCACAACCACCCACGACCAGTGGCTGGATGAGGTCGGCAGGACCAGTTCATGGAGATTCATTGGTACCCATGTTAGACCTGAGCTATTGCTCCCCTGGGCTACCTGCCCACACCTTGCCACCGTCTCCTCTTCCTCATCCTGGCTGCCCTGTGCTGCAGTCTGAGGGACTGGCCTAGCCTGTGTAAGCTGGCCAGTCCCTCTAGATTGTATGAAGACGCATATGTAGAGAAGCCAGCGAATTCCACCCACCTTGCTTTTGTCTTCAGTCCTGGCTGCCTGTCGACATGCTGGGTGCCAGATGGAAGAGCCTGTTGACAGATTCCCAAGAGGACATGGTTAGTGGTTGGTGCCACCCTGGGGGAGCCTGTGTGGGAAGTCAGAGGAGGGAGCCGTGGTCCCTGCGTATACACCTGCTGGCCAACCTCTGAGCAGGCCCCAAGCGTTCTCTCTGTGCTTTGGTGGCCCTGAGCCTGGGACATGAAGACCACAGACCCTATGCTGGGTGGCTCATACCCAGGAGTGGTGGAGACACAAAGGAACAGGAAAATATACACCACATGTGCTAATGCTTCCAGAGGAAGTCACCTGAAGTCCCAAGGAGCCTGGGGGCACCTGCCCAAGGAAGGGGGTTTCTCAGAGGAGGGGGACTTCAGGTGGCTTCAAGTTCACAGGCAGAGAAGAGGAAAAGGGATCCTGGGCAGGTGTACCTTGGGGGATTCACTTGCTTGTAGCGGGCTGGGCCCCATTGTGGGGGTACCTGGGCAGAAGCAGGGGTGGCAGTCAACCTTGGGGATGAGGGCTTTGTCTGTGGAGGTATTCTCAGATGGGCACTGCCAGGAGGGTACTAGTCTACTCCTCGGGGTGTGGGGGTGGGAGCCCCCACAAGGCTCAAGTGCTGGGCCCAACCCTGTCCCTAACCTGTTCAGTCTCTGAGGCTTCCTGTGCCTCTGTTTCTTCACTCATCAGTTCTGCCCAGCCACCCATGTCAATAGCCACCACCATCAACACAACAGGGCCTCCAGGCACCAAGTGCCCCACGGCCTGGCCCTTTGCTCTTTTCAATTTAACTCAACCCACCTGAGTCTCTGTGTTTTCCCCCTAAAACCAAGGGGTGCTCTCATTTTGCCAATCAGTGAGTTTAGTACGTTAAGTGGAGGCAACGATGGCTCACAAAGTGAGTCATACGCAAATGTTACCACAGTGTTGGTGTGCAGTAGGGGAAGGAGGGCTTCATGCAGGTTGGCTGCCTGCTCACCCCCTCCTTCAAGACCTGCAACACCTGCTTCCTCTTCCCTCTGTCAGCCATCCTGGCTGTCACCAATCACACATGAGTCCCTGACAGTGGAGTCCAGTCTGACTCATGCCAGCTTCCCTCACACAAGTCACATAGGGCCTGGCACAGAAGAGTGACTGTGAGTTTGTGTAGAGCACAGGTGCTTTAATCACGTCCTGTGTGCAGAGCCTTCCAGGGCCTGCCTAGGAATGGCTGCCTCTCCCAGAAACATATCTGTGTCCTCAGAGCACCCAGAGATGACAGATGGATGTGTGTAAAACGTTTATTGTCTTCAAGAATTTTTATGATTATAAATAAAATAGAAATTCATTACTAAACACTATACAGGCAAAAAAAGTATAAGTAAAAAAATTGAGGTATCTGTTACTTATTACCCACTTTTGCTGGGCCATCCTGAGGACACATGTGAGTCCTGATGGCACAGGGTGCTTGGGTACATGCACAATGTCACGCTCTGCAGCTTTGGCTTACAAGAGTCTTGAATGTCCTCCCATAGACATCTTTCCCATAGACATCACAGGAAGTCGCTCAGAGGGCTGTGTGCCTCCCACAGTACAGGCAGACTGTGTCCCCCTACCCATTTCTACCCTTCCTGGGCTGTGTTTATTTCTAAACTGCGCTTTGGGCTCCACTTTCCCCTTCAGCACGTATAGTCCTGATCCCAGGAGAAGATATACTCTGTGCCTTTGAGATCTGGAGACAATTTCCCAATTTCCATCCTCACCAGCTGGGAAGAGGCCGGTCCCTTGAATCTCACTACATGGGTCCTGGCCTTCCTCAGTCTTTGTTACTCCCAGGACGAGGCAACCTCCCATCATTATTCTGGTCTGGGCTCCTTGAGAGGAGCTGGCCTCCCCCGGCCTGTGTTTATTGGCAGAGGCCCTGGTGGGAACCGTTGTGGTTCTGGGGTGGCCTGGAGGTCAGAGGAGACACCTGCTTGTTAGAGCTCTAGTGGCAGCATGGTTTGCCTGTCAAAAACACATTCATCAAGCCCTGGCCTCCAGGTGACCCGGCATAGTGTCCCATGGGCTCATGTGTTCCACGGGACAGAGCTCAAGTGCCACAAACCCGGCCCAATCTCTCCCCGTACAGTGTGGAAACCCAAGGCACAAGAGGGGACTGGTTTGGCTCAGCAACCCACAGAAAGCCCTAGAAGGACCTGCTGTAGAGATCAGGTGCCAGCCCGCCCAGAGTCATGAAAAGTGTCTTTGTTCCCTGAGGCGAGGTCACCCCTGACAAGAGCTGGCGTCCCGAGCTGCTGTCCATGTATCGTGCTTGGCATCGGCTGGCCTGCTGTCTGCGAGTTCCATTCATGGAGGGGCCTCCTGCCAGGCAGCCCTGTGCTGCTAGCTGTGTGCACAGGACCCCTTTCAGGCAGGGACTTAGGACAATAAGTGACAGTGGGGACAAGGCCATCCCATCTGACATCACCCACCAGGCTTGCCTCAGAAAAGGAGGCCTGTCTGACACCCAGCCCTGGGACACTCACATGAGGTCACTCAGCAGCTTGTCTGCAGGCAGTGTGTCCCAGACAGATGCCACTGGCTCTATCCCCTGTCTGCTCAGCAGCCCCTGGGGTCCCAGGTGACAAAGGAAGTGGTGGCTAGCAAGATACAGTTTCAACATGAACCCATCCTTGCCTGCCCCCTGCCCACAACCAACCCATCATCAGTCTTGGGCTTCTAGAATGGGGCCACTGTCTCACAGTCACCTGCTCTGAGATGAGGCAAAGCCTCTGGGCCCCTCCTGACTCAGCCTCTGTCCTCTGGCCCTTCTCCACTGGCTATGGGGTGAGCCTTCCCCACATCCAGTTCAGCCAGGACCAGCTAGCATGGCTCACCACTGCCTGCCATCCACAGAATGAGTCTGCCCCCCTAATCCACCCATCTGCAGAAGACGGGGCTCTGTGCCTCCTTCCTGTGCTCCTGTCCATCCTGCAGCCATCCAGAGCTTTCAGCTCAGCTGATGAACCTCTAGCCTCTGGCCTGAGCACCCCTGTCCCTCTACCATGGCCAGGCCTTGCTCTGCCCACACTTCCTCTGGGGAGTCCCTCCCAGCTTATGTCATGTACCCCTTGTGCTTGGGGCCTTGATCTTATATCCCTTTGACTGGTCACTCCTAGAAGGTGGGCCAACCCTACTCACCTGTCTATTCCCAGCATTTAGGGTAAGGGAGAATGAAGGTTTGCTCCTTGACCAAATCAAGTCAACTTCTCTGAGTGCCCTAAACTTGGCCTTGACTTCTGTTCCCATCCTATCTTAGGCCCACTTAACCCGGTTTTTTAAAAATTTTTTTCTCTTTACCAGGTTTTATTTTTCTTTCTTTTTTTAATTGTTTTATTATTCATATGTGCATACAAGGCTTGGGTCATTTCTCCCCCCTGCTCCTACCCCCTCCGCCCCCTTCCTCTCCTCCCCACCCCCTCGATACCCGGCAGAAACTATTTTGCCCTTATTTCTAATTTTGTTGTAGAGAGAGTATAAGCAATAACAGGAAGGAACAAGGGCTTTTGCTGGTTGAGATAAGGATAGCTATATAGGGAGTTGACTCACATTAATTTCCTGTGCGTGTGTGTTACCTTCTAGGTTAATTCTTTTTGATCTAACCTTTTCTCTAGTTCCTGGTCCCCTTCTCCTATTGGCCTCAGTTGCTTTTAAGGTATCTGCTTTAGTTTCTCTGTGTTAAGGGCAAAAATGCTAGCTAATTTTTTAGGTGTCTTACCTATCCTCACCCCTCCCTTGTGTGCTAAAGTTTTTATCATGTGCTCAAATTTCAATCCCCTTGTTGTGTTTGCCCTTGATCTAATGTCCACATATGAGGGAGAACATACGATTTTTGGTCTTTTGGGCCAGGCTAACCTCACTCAGAATGATGTTCTCCAATTCCATCCATTTACCAGCGAATGATAACACTTCGTTCTTCTTCATGGCTGCATAAAATTCCATTGTGTATAGATACCACATTTTCTTAATCCATTCGTCAGTGCTGGGGCATCTTGGCTGTTTCCATAACTTGGCTATTGCGAATAGTGCCGCAATAAACATGGGTGTGCAGGTGCCTCTGGAGTAACCTGTGTCACAGTCTTTTGGGTATATCCCCAAGAGTGGTATTGCTGGATCAAATGGTAGATCAATGTTTAGCTCTTTAAGTAGCCTCCAAATTTTTTTCCAGAGTGGTTGTACTAGTTTACATTCCCACCAACAGTGTAAGAGGGTTCCTTTTTCCCCTGCATCCTCGCCAATACCTGTTGTTGGTGTTAACTCGGTTTTTGCAAGAATCCTGCAAGTCAGTTTCAGTTTAGGGAATCCAGCCCCCTTGCTGTTTGATGATGCCTCTCACCCCTTGCTGTGGTGTCTGAGCCCTGGCCTGACTTCAGGCCCCCTAACTGGGGGTGACTGGAAATGCAGAAAGGACAAACGATAGAAGACAGAAATGTAGTTTGGGGCCAGGTGTGCTGGGCACCCGGATGGAGGTGCACAGCAGTCTCATTGCTTCTCTTCTCTATTCTTTAAAACCTTACTTCTAAAGTAAGGTTCTTTAAAGTTTCTTTCCTTAGACTCACTCTGCCTCATGTTTTCTTTAATTTCTCTTAAAGTCTCAGTCCTTAGACTTGCAGTGTCCCATGTTCTCTTTAGCTTTTCTTTATGTAGCTTCTCTAAAGCCTATGTGTACAGTTCTCAGTGCAGAAAGCTGCTCTAGTGGAGACACACAGCCAGCAGCAGCAGCGGCAGTGGCAGCCAATCAAAAATCCCCATCAAAAAACCTCCATCAAAAACCCTGTGTCCTCCTTCAACAAGTCTTTTATATACAGTGGTAAACAAGAAGGTGGAGCAGCAGTTCTTGGGGAGGGGTGTGACATTGTGACACGAGGAACCTCCTCTCTACTTCTTTCTCTGAACAGAAACAACTTAGGAAAAGCAGCTGTGCTGCATTTTGCCTCTCGCTCTCTTCTGCAGCTGGGGCCATGTCAAACAGCCTGTAGATCATTGAGCACAACTGTGCTTACGTCAAGTTCTCAGAGGCATCTCATAATCCACTCCCCATAATTGTTCAATAAAAATAACTGAGGGCTGTGATTCTGGACTCAGCTCTCACACGAATTCCCAACAGACCATATAAAAGTCAAAAATGGAGTCACTCTGTAAAATTCCCAGATAAAGCTGTGTGCTATTTATCCAACCTTCTGAGAAATAAGGGTTGGAGGGCACAACAGCCAAATTCCCCAAATGGGCTTCAGTGGGCAAGATCCAGATTCACCCACCTTGACCCTTACACAGAAAGCAACCTGGTGTGGCCTGACCCCGGTCAGCCAGCTCTTCCCCATTGTCTGTCCCCTGTCCTGCCTCATAGGAACAGTAGCTTGGAAACAACCCCTCCACTCTGTCTCCACCCTAATACTGGCTTCCATGCCCAACTGTGGGACACTGGTTCTGTTTTGGGGAATAAAGTGTTGCCCGATTCCAAAAATAAGGCCAGCTAGGGTCAGTCTGGTAAATCATTGTAATTTTGCTCTTTGACACAATTATTATTAATTATAAATGGGCTGGGGGGTTCCCACAGCTTGTGGTTAGAAGGCTGCCTGTTTTCCTACAAAACTCTCCTTTTGCCAATGCCCTGTGAGCTGATCCTTTCCTTGCTTTGGGAAGAAAGCCTTAGCTTGCTGCATTGCAGTTTGTGATATCTTCATCTGAGTACCAAAGGCCAGAGGGCTGGGCAGGAAATAGCTCTTAGCATGAACTCCCCAAGCCAGGAAGTATCCTGGCTTCAGCCTGAAACAGTGAGGAGGATAGCAGGCTGTCCTCATGTGAGCTTTGCTAAAGAGAACCAGGTGGCCAGCCCGTCTTGGGCCTGACCTGTCCATTGTCTCATCTCAGGCTCACTGACAACCCAGACAGTGATAGAGCCTGACAAGGTGGGCCTGTGTGTGTGCTCCACCTGCCCACCTCAAAGGCTCCAAGGTAACATAACCAAGTTCATGCATGGCATGTGGTGTGACTGACCCGTCACCTATTTCATAGAGGATGAAATAGCATTTGAATATTTACCTTGAAGATACATCTCCTCGCCTTCTGTGAACATCTGGCCACACCTGACACATAGTGCACACGAGGGGTGGTAGTGCTTCTCCCCGGCCTGCAAGAGAGCATAGGCATGTCCACTGGGTCATGGAACACAGTGTGGGCACTGCGTGCCCCATGCACACAGGTCCTTGGGGGATGCTAGATGGGGTGCAGCTCAACCACTGGGTTGCTGCACAGAGCCCAAGCTGGTGCAAGGTCCTGAACGAAGGCAGGCAATACCCAGCTGCCCCTGCCTGACCTCCATGGACCAGGTGTGCAGCCAGTCTCCTCCTGGGAGGCCATGGACAGGGAGCATCTGCCTCCTTACCTGGGCATCTCCCGGAGAATGAGGGGAAAGAAGAGGAGGAAGGGAAGGGAGGGAGGAGGAAGGTAACATTAGCTCCCTAGGCTGAGGACTGGAGCAGTGGGTGAGAGACAATGACTGATAATTTTCTTTCTGTATCTCTGTGTTCCTTAATTAGGTCAATTAACATTTTGCATTTTAATAATTCTTTAAAACCATTTGATTGGATTACAAACATCAATACTGACATTACATCAATAGGTCTGGCTTGCTTCTGCCTGGTGCAGAAAGAAAAATCACCCCAAGTTATTATGTGCAGTATTACAGTGAATGCTCGCTAACCCGGGGTGGGCAGAACCTGTGCTAAGTGTGAGCATGAACCCTGGGTGTCATTCCTCCTAGAATGGGGGCGGCTGTGCACTTGCTTCCTGAATTGAGACATCCTCACAGCCATCTCACCTCGCTGTCTCTCCCTTGTCCTGTCCCCGACAAGGGGCCCCAGCATATGGAGAAGGAGAATCCAGAACACAGTCCTCTCTTTCATGGCTCTCTGTGGCCTCTGCCACCTCAGGCAGGGCACAAGGCTGACTGGTGTCTTGGGCAGTGAGCATGGGAAGGCTGCATCCTTGGTCCTGTAGGCTGCAGTCCCAGGACCGCTGAGTGTTGTCTTCTCATCCCAGCGCCACCTCCCCCTGGGATCCTTCCCTGATCCCTCCCTTATCTGGTCCCTGCTGGCCCATTTCTCGCAGTTTGGTGAGAACTATCTGTACTTATTCTTCCTAGCACAGTGGCCCTCACGTCAGAGCTGGTCAGGCACCTGGGTCAGTTCTGGAGCTGCTAAGTGGCAGCTCTGCATGGACAGTAGGTCTCACACAGCACCTGCCTGAAAGAGGAGACAGGTTCACTTTGGCCATGCATGTTTTGAGGTCTGAACAAGAGATTGAAACAGTTCAGTATTTTTAGAAGTTAAGTCACCTGTTAACAACGTGATAGTCAACTGCTGAGGTTGCACCACACTCTAACAAGCTCCTGTTATTTACCAACATAACAATTTCCCATAAAATGGGTCAAAGACCTAACGGTGAGTGCTAATGGTAGAACTGTTAGAAGAAAACTAGGAGCCAATCCACATGATCCTAGATTTAACAGCAGAAGCATGAGCAACAAAAGAAAACAGACAAAATGGACTTTGACAAAGCCAAATACTTTTGTTCACCAAAGAACCTTAACAGAGTAGTGAGAAGACAACCTAAAGAATAGGAAGGAGTACTTGCAAATCTGATGAGGGAATAGCAACCAGAATACATAAAGAACTCCTTCCAGTCACCAGCAGAACAACCAAGAGCCCAATTACAAAATAGGCTAAAGACCTGAACATACAGAAGATATTCAAACGATCAACCAAAGGTATGAGAAAAGATGTTCTTCATCATTGTCTTTTTTGTTGTTGTTTTTGCAGTACTGGGGTTTGAACTGAAGGTTTACACCTTAAACCACTCCTCTAGCCCTTTTGTGTGATAGGGTTTTTTTTGAAATAAGGTCTCATGAACTATTTGCCTGGGCTGGCTTCAAACTGTGATTCTCCTGATCTCTGCCTCCTGAGCAGCTAGGATTTCAGGCATGAGCCACTGGTTCCCAGTGTCATAACTGTCTTTAGGAAATGCAAATCAAAACCCCTGAGGACGTGGTACTTTGCCCCACCAGGACAGCTATAGTAACAGCACAACAGGAAGGAGAATCAACTTGGCAAGCACTTGTGTAAAATGGCACAGCCACCGTGGGGAAAGACAAACATAATTGTGCTATGATTCAGTGAGCGAAAATGAAGGGAACAGGAGAAATAAAAACCATAGTTCCAAAAATTTGTATGCAAATGTTCACAGCAGAACAACACACAATAGCCAAAAGGCCCAACATCCCATAAGTGGGTTCAAAGATTCCGTTTTAGACTTCCAGAACCAAATTAGGATCTTAAAAGTCCTGGCCACCATGGTGCACAGAGAAAATTAAATTTACTGAGAAGAGAATCAAGACCCTGAACAAAGGCCATGCAACTTGAGGGTGTCTGGTGACAGTGATGCAGAATCCCCCAGGGGTCTTCTATCTGAGACCTTGCAGGGGTCACTCAGTCCCAAAAGAGGAAAGGAATTCCCACCATGCTTGCAAAGTCCTGGGAGGTCCACAGCCTCTCCCTAGACCTCTGTCTCCATCCTTGCCCTTGCCCTCACCCTCTCCCAGATCACCCTCCATGGCTCTTACTGCCTCAGGATGTCCAGGAGTGCATGTGGCCTGGTTCGGGGTCGCTCTCTCTCCCCGCCTCCTGCATTATCACTCAGCTCCACCTAGGAAGTCAGCTGTGGGAAGCTGGGTGCTGGCCACACATTCTCCATGACCCTGTGCAGTGCCCCCCTGGGGAATGGGCTCTGAAGGAGGGACACAGGCCCATGAGACATTCACGAGTGGTCCCTAAGGACAAAGGGGCTCTAGCTGAGTTCATATAGGGACAGCTAAGCAACCCAGTCCACATGTAGTATTCACACGTGTGCTAAGGTGCAGAGAATATGCCACAAGGACAGCTGACCAGCATCCTGACCGGGCCAGCTTCCAGAACACTGTAGATGGCATTTGAGGAAAAAGACTGGAGGTTCCACTGTGCTGTTGGGCCACTGTGTGACACAGGGACATGACAAAAAGGCTAAAGGCAAGTGCACAGGCAAGTGCTTGTCTGTGTGTCTCTGTGTGTTGTTGTGGTGTCTGCATACATCTCTGGTGTGTTCCTTTGTGTAAGTCTATGTGTTGTCTGTGTGTCTTCCGTGTGTTGCTGTGTGTCTATGTCTTTTTGTGTTGTCCATGTCTGTCTCTGTGTGTCGTAACTATGTGTAAGTCTGTGTGTTACCTGTGTGACTTGTGTGTGTGTATGTGTGTGTGTATCTCTGTGTTGTAAATGTCTGTGTCTTATGGAGAGTGGAGTATGAGAAGCCTATGAAAACTGGACATAAGCAAGGCGAGATGCAGCTCAGCTGCTTTTCCTAAAATGTTTATCTGTAGGCTGAGATTGGCACAGCCCTGACCACAGAAAAGGAGAATGCAAAACAGCTGCTTCTCCTAAGTTGTTTACATTCAGAGAAACAATGCCACGACCTTCCCAGAGAACCAATGCTCCATCATTTACTACTGGGTATAAAAGACCTGCTGAAGGAGGACACAAGGCTTTTTGCTTTGGGGTTTTGCTTTGGGGTTTTGCTTGAGGCTTTTGCTTTTGGCTTTTTGGTGTTGGAGGCTTTTGGAAGGGAAAATAATTGCTGAGGGGAAAAGAACTGCTGAAGGAGCACTGCTAAAGGGGAATTGCTAGCAAGATTGAGGGCTGAGACTTTAAGAAAGCTAAAGAGACAACATGGGACAGTGTGAGTCTGCACTGAGAACTTCATACATAGGCTTTAGAAAAGCTAAGCTAGAGAAAAGCTAAAGAGAACATGGGGCAGTGCGAGTCTAAGGAAAGAGACTTTAAAGAACAGAAAAGAAGACTTTAAAAGCAAGGTTTTAAGGAAAATCTTTAGAAGTAAGGTTTTAAAGAATTGTAAAGGAGCAGACCTTAAAGAATAAAGATAGAGAAAAGAAGCCATGAGGGTTGTGCATCTCCACCTGAGTGCCCAACACACCCGATTCCACTTTCTGTCTGTCTGTCTATCCTGTGTCCTTTCTGCATCTCCTGTTGCTGCCCAGTTAAGCCCAGTTAGGCTCAGTAATAACCAGGAACAAGAGAAAGCTCGCTCCAACAAGGGAGCAGGAAAAAAAGCTCGCTCCAGTGTCTGTGAATGTCTCTGTGTGTGTTCCTATATGTACATCTGTGTGTTGCCTCTGTGTGTCTGTGCATGTCTCTGTGTGTTGTGCCTATGTTTAAGTCTGTGTCTTATGTATATGTGTGTGTCTGTGTGTGTGTGTATATCAGCAGAATTTAAAAGGATCTTTTTTCAATGTTAAATAGTCTGGGTGGTGGCATTTGTGATGAGTGACTTTGTCTATTTTATGATAATCAAGTATTCCCTCCAAGTTCTTTAAATAAGCACATTTATTTTAAGACAGAGGGGGCGGAGCTTGGGAGTTTGACTTCTCTCTGTCCTCAGGAGATGCATGCATGTGTTTGGAAGCACAGCTTCTCTTCTGCCAGTGGTAAACATGCACATGACTATGAGGAGGAAAAGAAAGTGACCATAGCAAGACCAGGGAGGTGACAAACAGGTGTCTATCTTCACAGGTGGTAGCATGTGAAATGGAGAAGTGCTCCTGACTTGAGGCAGGAACAACTTGGCAGCCCCCCTCTCCTGCAGGGGCTCTGCAGGAGACGAGCCCCCCCCATCTCCAAGGACAGCACCCTGTCACCTTCTGTCTGTGAGCCCAACCCCCAACTCAAGTTGGACATGCAGAGTCCAGCAGGGGTCTACAAGGTGAATGGGAAGGAAAGAAAAGAGGGAGGCAGCAGAAAGAGTTAATTAGTGGTCTCAGAAAGATGCCAGGCTTCTTGTTACTATGGAGACAATGCAGGTGCCACACCACATGGGTAAGTGGGGCCCTGACCACAGCACGGCCAGGGTAGACAGCAGAGCCAGGGACTCCCCCTCCCTCAGTACACCCCAATTTTCCAGTGCCTGTGGGGTCCCTCTCAGGCTGTGCCCTGTGCACTTCGCCTGCAGATTGCAGCTCTCCGTGGGGCGACTCCTTCCCTCCCCAGAGCCCTACAGCAGTCACTGCCAGGCATGGGGGCTGCCCACCACCCTGCACACAGCTCCGGCCAGCCCCTCCCCACTCCCTGGCTGTCCATCTCAGCTGGTGGGGAGGGAAACCCCAGAGACAGACAGCAGGACTCCAGAGGCTACATACTTAGGAGATGAGAGAGAGGGAAGGAAGCCTCCATCACTATGAATGTACACTTCACGGGCGGGTGGCACTGGGTGCCAGCCAGCGCCTAAGATGGCACCGTGCCTGCTGCTCACAGGCACAGGACAGATGAGAGCTGCTGCTGTGAGGAGCCTGGGTGTGCTCCTGCTAGGATCTGCAGAGAGGGCAGCCCGGCATGCTGACAAGCATCTCAGGGAGGAAGAGGGGAATGACAAGTGCCTGGGGGGGGCTCACACCAGTCCCCAAAAGCTCATCCACCTATTCCAGCATGGCCCTGGGAGCCCCGACAATCTCACCAGGCTTCCTACCTGCACGGTGTCTGGGCACTGGGGCCCAGTCCGATGGCCTGATGCCACAGCCCTCCTCCAGTGCCTGGACTGTGTGTCCTGGGGATGATACTTTGTCCCTCAGCCAGCCCCTGGACTTTTTCTTTTCCTTTTCAGATCTGTCACTTGCTCCTGCTGCTCCCCAAGAGCCTGCTGTCACCAGCTGGGTGCCAGCACACCTGGTTCAGCATCACGCAGTGCCACCTCAGTGGCAGCTCCCTTCTGCAGGGCTGGCTCGTCTCCGCCCGCAGCTCCCGCCTCACTCCTGCCTCACACCCACCAAGGAGGATGCTCAGAGATTTGCAGAGCCCACAGCACGACTCAGCCATACCACCCGGCCGAGGAGAAAACAAAAGCCTGAATCTTCCCTTCAGGAAACCCTTTACCCTCCACCTGTTAGCTCCTGGCCACCAGGATACCCATCCAGATAGACCAGGGGGTACCCAAGGACTATTCACAGTACTAAATCCCAAAGTTTGTATTCGGCTAGTGTTGCTTACACAGCAGACATGGGGTGCCCTTGCCCTTACAATCCACGGAGCGTCCACTACTTACCCAATATCGAGGCCTCCTCCTGTGCACCATCTGGGGCACCACAGATCTGGAGCACTTCATAGATGATGACTCTCTGACTCCCTGACTGCAGGCACAGGAGCTGCACTGGCTCCAGGCCAGGAGGGCCAGAGTAGTCAGGATCTCTCTGGGCTAGAGGCCTGGGTGCCAGGAAAGCAGTCAGGCTCCCCTACCTGTAGCAGCAACAGTGGCAGCTCCCTGAGCCCCAGATACACCAGCATCAGACCATGCGGAGACGGGATTAAGTCAAAATGCAAATCCAGTTTTCCCTGGTAGAGGCCAGGGGTGTGTGGATAGCCCGGGTTCAAGGCCAGCTCGGCCTACTGCTTGGAGGCCGATCATAGACAGCTGTACATGGAGAGCACCAACACCTGGCATAGCTTTGGCACTGCCCTGCATTTTAGAGGAGGAACTTGGATCAAAGGGGCAGCTGTGTGTGTCAGCCAGGTGGGCATGAGTAAAGGTGTCAGGGAGGGAGAGCAGAGTGCAGGGGCGGTGGTGTTGAGGAGAGGGGCACTGAGAGGCAGGGGGCCAAGGCCAGCTATGAAGAAAGGAGAGTGACCCACAACTGCCAGTGCTCCAGGGGCTTCGGTCCCGACCCCCTGTGGGTACCCCTTTCAACAGGAGAGACCTAAGCTGGGGAGGAAGCCTTCAGGAAGGGGAAGGGAGAAGACTATAGGCGGGTCAGGCTCCAGAGGTGGGAAGAAACGGACCGAGTACAGGGAGGGCCACCTGGGGAGGGAAGTGGGCCCCCAGGCCCAGGCGGGGGTTGTGGTACAGGATGGGTCATGTGTGCACACCCAGGGAACCAGGGTATGGGTGTTTAGATATGTTGCCATCCAGGAGAATACAGAGAGGACATGGGGCAGACAAACATCACAATCTTGTCACACACACAGTGTGTGTGTGAGTGTCAAAGACCCCAACACACAAGCAGGCAACTTTATGAAAGGTAATTGAAGTACAAGAAGTATTTGAAAACCCAAAGTGACAAACAGTTCCCCTAGGGACTGAGGGAAGGTGGAACAAAGCAACAGGCATGTTTTCACAAGTGGGCAAGGGTTTCAGCAGGAATGATTGCACTCCCAAGCTAATAAGACTCTTTCTGGAAAGCAATTTACAACAGTGTCAAGAACTGTAAAAAGGCTCATAGTTTTGACCCAGCTTCTACACTTCTGTGAATTTATCTGAAGGAAGATTAGAAATGCAAGCAAATCATTGTGAGTGCAGTGAGAATCCGGAAAGCATCAGGTACGGTGGCTCACATTTGTAATCCTAGTTACTTGGGTTTGTGTGTGTGTGTTTTATCTTTTGGTTTTGTTTATTTGTCTTTGGTGGTAGTGGGTTTGCACTCAGGGCATTACGCCTGCTAGGCAGATGCTCTACCACTTGAGCCATTTCTCCTGCTCAATTCTAGCTACTTGGAAGGCTGAGATTGGGTGGATCAAGGTTTGAGGCCAGCAAGGGCAAATAGTTCATAAGACTACCATCTCCAAAATAACCAGAGCAAAATGAACTGGAGGTGTGGCTCAAGTAGTAGAGTGCTTGCTTTGCAAATGGGAAGCCCTGAGTTTAAAACCTAGTCTCACCAAAAAAGAAAAAAAAAAAAAGAATTTAGAAAGTACTGCTATGTCCTACAATAAGTGCTCAGCCTTGTAAATTTTGGGTAGCCTGTGATGAGGTGTGGTACGGTGCTAAGCCATGCTTATGTGCAAATAAAATTTGTGAAAGAGCCACAGGCAGAAGACCACATGCTGTTTGATCCGGTCTGTATGAAACATCCCAAACATGGAAGCCTATGTCAACAGGAGGGAGCATAGTGGGATGGGACAGCTGGAGGACACAGGACTCTTCTTGAGGTGAAGAAATGCTCAGAAAACGACAGCGCAGATGGCTGCACATGTCCTGAGGACAGTGGACACCCCCAATTGGACAATTTAGTGGGTGAATTATATCTTCATAAGCTGCTAAAATGTTCCATAAAACACGCAAAAAATGCTTATGAAGACTTTATAATGACATGGAAACCTACAGAACTGGAAGCTGAGGTGGGAAAATGATGACCTAGGATTTCAGAAATGGCTTGGTATCAACTCTGATCCCAGGGCGAGGAAACCAGGCGAGGAAATCCCAAGGGGCTGGCCCGAAAGTGAAGCTGACCATGACTGCTCAGTGGGCTTTTCTCTGCTCTGTGTTGCAAACTTTCTCCCACAGGCAAGGGGCTTATTAACCAATCCTCTTGGGCAGAGGCCGAGCTCTGCACAGAGCAGGAGTGCTCACAGGGTGGGTGGTGTCCAGCTGTCTGGGGTCTCTAACTGGGGAAATGAGGTAGGGTAGCGGGCAGCAGGGAGGTGGGAGGCTGTGCCCAGCCACCGCCAGGGGAAATGGGGAGGCTGGAAGGTAAGGCTGAGTTTCCCTCAGCCAATTGCAAGGATAGCAGCCCAGCCCTTGCTGTTTTTCAGTGACCACTATCCAGTTCCACGGAAGTGCTCTGGATCCGGGCTGGAGCAGGGCACTTGCTGTGGGGGCTGGGAGGTATGCCACACCTACCTCTCCAGGCTGGCACTTGGCTCTGAGGACTTGTCCCTTCTCCCTAGCCCCTCCTCCAGCCCTGCACTCTCTGCAATCCCCAGGGCTACTTCCTGTGACCTCTTCTGCAAGGGGTGCCACATCCGTCCCTTGGGCAGTGCTCATCCCCTCCACACTCCCTGAGATCCCCATTCTAAAGACAAAGGGCCCACCCAGGATGGAGGGCTGCAGTGGGCACAGGCACAGGTCAGCCTATGCATTGGGTGAGCACGTGGAAGTGTGGATATATATGGAAATTTCACCCAGGGAACATGTCCACGCACCCAGTTCCCTGATCAAAGAACATAATTCTGGGATCACCTGGGGCACACAAGAGGCTTCCCGAGGGCAAGGGCACCAGCAGGCCCAGCTGTGGGGAGCACAGCTGAGGCAGATCTGAGAGGAAGCGGGTGGCCAAAGTGTGAGGTTATAGGTTCTCAAAGAAATGCAGCTCAGACTTCACAGTAAACTTGGGGAGCAGATGAACCCCAGCATGCAGAGAAGACCTAGCCCAGAGAGTACTCAGTCCAGAGAGGACCTAGTAATGAGAGGACCCAGCATGGGGAGGACCCAGCCCAGAGAGGCCCAGCCGGCCCTCAGGCGGACTGCTCACCTCCAGCACGCGCCCGGTGATGTACTTCTCACAGCCATCACAGCGGATACCGAACTTGGTGTGGTAGTCAGCCTCGCAGTAGGGCAGTCCATCCCTGCCATGAGACAGACTTTTAGGATGGTGTGTGATCACCCCGAGATCACTGAGCATTGGCCCCTGGAATGGGACAACTTTCCCCTGCTGTCAGCATGGGGCATGCCTGCTCCTCCCGCTCTAAGGAACAACACTGCGGACAGGTAGCGGTCACACTCCCGTCTCTCAATGGATAAACTGAGGAGCGTAGAGGACAGGCCATCTGCTCAGTGAACTGGGTCCAGTTCTAACTGGGTCCTCAGGAAAATGTGAGCCAGATAAGGGTGCCCAACTGGAGACAGGGCCCAGGGATGACAAGAAACCCAGTGGCCAGTGTGGTGGGGACACAGGGACATGAGGGCACAGGGCTGGCGCTGGCCACACACAGAACCAAGGCCCCTGCCATGGGAAAGGCACAGTTGGACTCCACGGACATGCATTGGCTTCTTCTATGCCTGTTTTCAGCTGCCACTGGGCACCGGGCACTGCAGTGGCCGTGGGAGGCAGTGTGGGAGCTGCTCTTCAGCCAGTCTGCCAGGGCTGATGGGAACAGCGCCACCTTGACTTCTGCGGCTGATTTACAACCTGTTCTTGTCATTGTTGTGAGATGGATATCAGACAGATGGCCACACAGGCAGGGAGGAAAGGCTCAGGGGTGGCATGGAGGTTTCCCAGTGGCCACACCTAGTGTGGGGAAGTGTTTCTGGGCAGGAGATACACGAACAGCCTTGGACTCAAATGCCATGCCCCAGATATGTGAACCTGGACAAGTCACTCAACCTCAGAGCCTCAGCTTCCCCATCAGTGAAATGGGAGAGACAACAGTAAGGGCTACACAAGAGGAGACGTGGGCAGAGCCCAGTCCATGGTAAGTGCTCGCCCATCTGGTCATTGCTAAGCAGGACTGTCCTCCCAGCTACAGGCCACAGCCTAGCAGGAGCTGGGTGTGGAGATGATGGGGAGGGGGGCACCTATCAGTTCAATAAACTCCCTCTCCATTTTTTGTGAACTTGGTCTTGGTTTCACACAGCTATGACAGAAGGCAGGATTCCTCAGCTGTCGGGGATTAAACAGGCCAGTGCTGTCCTCCTTCCCTCCAAGTTCTGGACCTTGAGGGTCCTGAGGGGGCCTTCAGGATGGCAAGGGCTCTGCCTGGGTCATGGCCCAAGGGAGAAGGCACAGGCTGGGCTCTCCGTATCCACTTTCAACAGCGTCCAAGGTGCTGCCGACCTTGGGCCCCACTGCATCCCACAAACCGGGGTGCCTGCTGCAAACCCAGGAGGTTTGTAGACAATGTCTCCATGGCAACACCAGTGCGCTCTCCCCCTTGATTCTGGGATGGCTGGGGAGGCTGCTAGGTAACGCATGTGGTGTGGGTGAGCCACCAACACCATGGGGGCTGGCACCTGCGGGGGCTGGCGCTGTCACTGCACGTCAACATCAGTCTGAGGTGCTCCCCACCTGTGTGGCTGTGATGGAGGCCAAGGGACAGAGGCCCTCCTGGGTGGATGCTCATCTCAAAACGGTTCATTTTGTGATCACGTGTCATTGTAAGAAGCAACACAGAAAGTCCCATGTCCCATGTACCCTCCACCCAGTCCCTTATGACATCCACAGAGTGAGAGTTCAAAGTCAACTGGATGCTGGCAGGGGCACACCTACAAGCCCTGCTCAGACTCCATGTACATGCCTGCAAGTGTGCATGTGTCACGGTGTGTGTGTGCATGTGTGGGTGTAAATGTGTGTGTACGTGTGCGTGTACACACGAATGTGCACAGTGTGCTTCACTCCACGCAGTTCCATCACAGGACCCTCTTCCCTATCCACTCCTGTGACAGTCTGTCTCTTCAGAGCATGCAGAACGAGCATCTTCCACAGCAGCTGCTGAAAGGGTCCCTGGCCCCCAGGAAGGAGCTTCTCTGCACTCGGGGAGCCACTCTTTCCTCCATTAGCTCATCTTGCCTGCACTGTGGTGACCTGCCTGCCTGAGTACCCTGGGCTACCAGGCTTAAAATGCACCCTGGATCCTGGCCACGATCACCTCAGGTGGCTCCCCACAGCCTCTGATAAAAGCATGCTCTCCTCTCCCAAACCAGCCCCACCTGCTGGACTGCATATTTGGGGAGTGCTGTGCCAGCCACGGGGAGACCCCCAAAGGCCCCACTCTGAAGAAGATGGAGAATGTGCTGACCACTGACACCCTCCTCTCCAAGTCCCCGTGACCAGCATCTGTGGACCACTTTGAGCTTTGTAGGACATCCAGCAACAGAATGTCCAGGTTCCAGGCAGATGGAGGTGACACCCTGGGATCCAGAGGAGAGGCATTTGACAAAGTCACAGCTGGAAGCCCAATTCCTCTGCTTCTAACCAACAGAAGAAGCTGGAGCCACGTAAGATGCAGACTGTGGGGACAAGTTTCAGGTCCTGCCCAGCTCCTCACCCAAGAGCAGGACAGCAGTAGGCACTCTAGGAATAGGAGGGGGCTGGCGCTCAGCCCCTGCCTGCCCGCCTGGCGTACAGAAAGACAACCTGGGTGCACTTACTTGCTGATGTACTCTGCGTTCAGGAGTTTTCCGCACGTCTTGCACTTAAAACAGCCCAGGTGCCAGTGCTTGTCCAAGGCCACCAGGGCCTGGCCGTTTTTTATTTCTAAGGCACAGCCCCCACAGCCTGAAGAAAGAGAACAGAACACTGACGTCCTCACTGTGGGTCCAGGGGCTGGGAGAGCAGGGGACCATGGCCCCAGCAACACCACCAAGGGCACTGGGGGTGACTTGAGGGTGACCCTGGACCTGCTGCTCTCAGACCCCATGGAGCACCTGGAGCAGACCCAGAGGAGAGGGACAGAGGGACAGCCACCCTGGCAGGCTGGAAGGACCGTGTTGTACTCCAGCCTAAGGGAGCATAGACAAGCTCCCTTCCATGCTTCATTCCTGCAGGAATGAGGCACCAACTGTGTGCGGCCTGGGTTGAGGAAACAGACGTAGAGACAGAGGCCTTGCTGCCTAGGAGATGGGGGTCTCTTCTAGCACAGAGATGGGAACTTAGATAAGGGCGCACTGGGGTGGCACTGGTCTGGGGGGTAGGAGGCAGGTGCTCTGACAGCAGCCTGTCTGGGCAGCCCCACCTGTGCTGTGTTGGAGCCCAAAGTTGAACCTGACTGACATACTGAAGCCAGCTAGAGGAAACGCACCCCCTTGGGGAGGGAGGTCAAAGGTCTGAGCCCCGCCCACTCCATCATCCCCACTCCTTGCTTTAAGTTCCCTCCTTCCTGGAGTTCTCCCCCATCCCATGTCTGCAGTCCTCCTCTGGCCTCTACATACAGGACTCTGCCCAAGGGGCCCAGGCAGGCTCAGCGGTCAGCCTCTTCTCCCCTCCACAACCAGAACACTCAGTCCCCAACTTTGTCCTCCTGACCTTCCCCATGGTCCCTAGAGTTCTTCATCCTGCCACCAACCTCTAATCTGGGCTCTGGCTACCTCCCTGGCCCTCTTTCCTCTCAGCTGTGCCCATCCCTGCTCAGCACCCTCTGGGGTCCCACGGCCTTGGGATTCTGGCCCTGCTCTAGTAAGCCCACGGTCTCTCCTCCAATGAGCTGCCATTGTCACTCACTATCACTCACTGTCACTCGCTGAAGAATGAGTGGGAGCCCTCAGCAAGGAGGGCAGGCAGAGGGAAGGGGGGAAGAGCTTTGGTCAGTAGCTTGCACGGGGCATGTAGATTGAGTGTGCAGGGCATATGACTGAGCTGTATGTGTACATTGTGTGTGTGCAGGCATGTATACATGTATGTGTGTGTGCATGCTGTGTATAGGTTTGGCCATCCCTCAGTAGCCATGGGGGTTGATTCCAGGATCCTCTTTACTTGGGCTGCCAGGAAGCTCTGGACAAACTGTTCAGACTAACCCCCCTTGAAGCTTTGCTGCAAGCTTTGCCCACCACCTTGGTTTAATGCTGACAGCTCTATTGCTTGTGACACAAATGCTCAAAGATCCAATCCATCCTGACCCCAGCTGGGGAGAACTTGTTAGAGGACCGTCCCTAGCAAGTCCCAAAGCCAGTGATGGGCATCTGAAACTGCTGGTGCTTGTCCCATCCCGGGTGTGGGCTTCCCTTTGTTCCTTTACAGAGTGAAATGATTGCTACCTGCCCCCAAAGCTGGGAAGCGCGGGTGGGATCTGCTGCCTCTGCAAAGACTCTCAGCTCAGCATAGCAGAGAGCGGGGGAGAAAGGATGCGTCTGTCAGGAACAAGAAGTAAATGCCAGCAAGGTGCTGGCAGTGGACATCAGTAGAACCCTTTCTCTGCCCTGTCCCAGACATGCGGCCCTGCCTCAGAAACACCAAGGGAACATCACAGTGACCCTGCACGTGGGTGGTTCTTAAAATGCCGCTCCTCCACGGGCACAGGTCCTAATGTGTAGGGCTCCCCCTCCCAGTCCCACATCCCCTCTCCTGCCCTAGGGGAGCCACAAGGCTGGGAAAGGCCACCTTGCTCTCCGCCTTGCAGTCACTCTGCCCCATATCTGCAACCTGTGACACAGCTGGCATTTCTTCTTTTACTGTGACAACTCCTGCTTTCTCATTCAAGGAGCATATATTGAGCACCTGCTGCATACACACCTGGTCTAGCTCCCAGGGTGGGCCATGAACCCAGAGCCCCTGCCCACAGGAACCCAGAGCTCAGGCCTCTTCTAAGGGCCCTTAACGTGCTTCCATTGGCCTGAAATCTGTGTGTGTGTGTGTGTGTGTGTGTGTGTGTGTGTGTGTGTGCGTGTGTGTGAATGCCACAGACAGAACAGGAAGGAGGCTGGAGGACCAGAGGAGGGACAGCTAGAGCTGGGCTGCCCGGGAGAGGGGTAGGATGGAGAGAAAGGTGGCACCTGAGTGACAGGCATGGACCTTACAAGGGTGTGGTGGCATGAGCCAGGGTGTGTTTCCTTTCTACCATGTCCCTCACTGTCCACAGCTCTGGTCTTCTGCTGGTCCCACATATTCAGGCCCCACCCTGGGCCCAGCAGCAGCCCCTCCCCATGGCCAGCGCCCACTTACTCCGGAGGCCCTGGGACAGGTGCACACCGCCGCCCCCTGACGTGGGTGGGGAGCACTTCTGACACATGCATTCCTTCCCGTTGAAGGTTACACGGTCCCCGGGTGGAAAGGGCAGCCTGAAAAGAGAGAGCTTGTTACCCACCAGTCTGCCTCTCCGGGGCACAGTACCAGGGCCACTGCCCACGGGACCTCACGGACAGTGCCCTGGTGCTGGCTGCTGGGTACTGTGACACAGCCTCCATGCGGTCTCATTTGATAACTTCAATGTTTGTCTGAGGGGGATTTGCTGCATTTTCCCCACACAGGTGAGAAAACTGAAGCTCAGAGAAATTAGTTAACATTTCCAAGGACACATAGCTGATGCCAGTCAGAACCAGGTCCTGTCTGGCTCCAAAGTTCCCTGATTTATCTACCTAGGTCTCTGAGGAGGCACAGTGATAAAAAGTGCGCCTCGTAGACATCAAGGTGCTGTGTCATTGGGTCCTGTCTTTATTTACATTTCTGGCATGTCATTCAAAATGGATTTTTTTAAAATATCGCATTAAAACATCATTTGCTTTGATTACTGAGATTTTGGGTACCCCTCATCCAATGTGAGTCCCTGCAGGGAGCAGCAGAGCAGCCCCACCCCACAAGCAGCCCAAGGCTTCTCCTTTGGAGACTGAGGTCGCTGAGGGGTTGGGGGCTGGCAAGTCAAGGCCAGCCCACTTGCAGGCAAGGTCAGAACCAAAGTCTGAGAGCAGCGTCTGTGTCCATCCTCAAATCCCATTGCCCCTGAGCTCCAGGCAGCTATGGGACATTTCTTCTCGCCCACATGGCCTGTCCAGAAAGCCTGTACTCTGTGGGCAGAAGCCCGCAGAACAGCCAGCTCAGGATGTACCCTGAGGCCCTGCCTCAGCCGCTTTGGCTGGCTTCCCTGTTTTCTTCAGGCCTGCAATACTCCACACACCCTGGAGCGTGGGTGACAGGATGGTGATCAAGGGAAGGACAGAGGCCCCCCTGGGAGCTGAGAGCTCCAGCTGCCACTCCTGCCCAGGGCTGCCTGATGGCCCCACAGCTGCCTCAGCTCACTGGCTCTGGACCCCTGGGCAGCAGGAGGGAGCTTTTCTAAGCTGAGCCTGTGATACACTTCTGTATCCATTGATCATTCACGTAGATTCCTTCGAGAAGTATCCGTGCAGCTCTTTTGGCCATGTTTGGCAGTGTTCTGTTTTCTTATTGACTTGTAAGCGTTCTTTGCATATTTCGTATGCAGTCCTTCGTTGTGTGTCGTCACTGTTCTCCACCAACTGAAGCTGTTTTGGATCTTGTTGGTCTTTTGAAGTCATTTCCCTTCAGTCTGCAAAACTTCCTATCTGCTCGCAACAAATTCATTTAGCTTTTGTGCGCCTAAAAAAGTCTTCATCTTCATCTTTTTTGGTACCCACTTTAATTGACGCTGTTCACATATGGTATAATACATAAGCCAGTGGGCTTTACCATAGTCACAGCGGTGCAGCCATCAGCTTTGGAACATTTTAATCACCACAGATGAGGTCTCATGGCTTTATCAGTCTTGCCTTCATTTGTGTGTGTGTGTGTGTGTGTGTGTGTAGGGACTGAGGTTTGAATCAGGGCTTTGTGTTTGCAAAGCAGGTGCTCTACCTCTTGAGGAATACTTCCAAGTCCATTTTGCTCTGGTTATGTTTTGGAAATAGAGTCTCAAGAATTATTTGCAGGGCTGGCTTTGAATCATGATCCGCCTGATCTCTGCCTCCGGAATAGCTAGGATTACGAACATGAGCCACCAGCGCCCCTTTATTTGATTGTGAAGAATTCGGTCTGGTTTTGTTGCGTTTATTCTACTTAGGGTTCATTGAGGTTGTTGAAACTGTGAGGTTATTGTTTTCAACACATTTGGAAGCTTTTAAACCATGACTTCTGAGGAATGTTGGGGTCTCTGATACCTTGCAGGTAGACAAGGACTCTGCTCAGAACTTAACTGTTTCCTCAGTTTGTGCAGCACATAGGAGCCTGGTTATTCTTTACACTGTGATGGTTAATGTTGATTGTCACCCTGATGGGACTAAGAAGTGTCTAAGAGATTAATAACACACACTTCTGGCTGTGCCTGACATCAGGGGAGACCCTGTTGAATGTGGGGAGCACCATCCCATAGGCTGGGGGCCTGGATAGCACACAAGGGGAGAAGGAAGAAGCCAGTCAGTATAGCCATTCTTTCTCTCTGCTTCCTGACTGAGGTGGAGTGAGCCGGGGAGGTGAGCAGCTGTGCTCCACCCTGCCCTTCTGCCATGATACTCTGCCACAACCCAGAACCAATAGTCAGTCAACCACGGGCTGAGACCTCTGAAACCATGAGCCAAGATAAATCCCTCCTCCTTTCAATGGTTTCTCTCAGGTATTAGTCTGACTAACACATCTACCTGTGAGTCTCCATGATTTCTACAGGGCTTCGAATTTGGCCCTAAACTCAAGGGCGCCACCTGCAGGCCTCTGAAGCTTTCATTTTGCATCGCTCTCCCCTCTGTCTTAAACACACCCCACTGCTGCTGCCTTCCCACCGTAGTGTCCTGACCAGGAGATGCCAGTTCTGCTTGGTTGGTCCCCGTATGCTATATTTTGAGAGTCTGCCTCCAGGCAGGACACCCGGACGAGCCAGGTTTGCTGTTTCCTGCTCTCAGACCTGGGCTGCCCAAGTGTCCTCACCAGTGCCTCACCCTTGTGTCATCTTCTGGTTGTTTCTAGCGGGGTGGATAAATCCAGTCCTGGTCCTCTCACAGCATGAGTGCCACTGCCTGCTATCATTTGTAAGACAATGGTCACCCAGGCAGCCTTCAGACGGTGACCGTGCCAACCCTCACTGCTAGGAAATTGCACATGTGACCCTGGGAGACCGCTGACCCAAATGGTGCTGTGCAAACACACGGTGACCCCGTGATGGGAAATTTCCCTGCACCACCACTGCCTTCCCCAGTGTCCTTTGACTAAAGACTCCATTTCAGTTAAGTTACACACACTGTGTTAGGAACAACACAGAAAACAGCCCCACAAGTTGGGTAAGACAGGGACCATGGGGCAGAAAACAAGTTGTTTTTATCTTTACTCTTTGTTCTCTACAAACGGAACTTTCTGGGAAGAATGTGTTTTGGGGGGCTGTGGGAGGAGGAGCAGGGAGGGACCTAGAGAGCTTCCCACTGACTGCCTACTCAGACCTGGAGACGCGGGCAGTGGTGAGCACAAGGCCCTGCTGCTAGCATGGGATCCAGTCTCTCTACAGTGATCCCACTCTGTGCCAGGCCCTGGGGACCACTGTCTTCTGGCACAAAGACATGGCACAAAGTGACATGGGCACAAAGTGTGGGAGGGGTGTGAATGTGGGAGCCAGGAGAGCATGGGTCAGGATACAGTAAGGAGGGAGGGAGGGAGGCATTAAGAAGGAAGGAAGGGAGGCTGATTTTGGTGGGAGGGGCTCTACAGGACCTGCCCCTGAGAGATGCTAAGTCTGTGGGACAGGGTAACACATCTGTGAGTCACAGGGAGCCCTGAGCCGGGCACACGTGAGTGTTCATTGAATGAGTGAGTGAGAGAACAAATGAATGAGTGAAGGAGTGAGTGACAAAATGAATAAGTGAGTGAATGGATGAATGAATGAGTAAATGAACAGATGAATGAGTGAATGAATGGATGCATGAATGGATTGAATAGGCTGGGAAACACCGCTGGGCTAAGATAAGAAGCCCTGGTGATCTCTTGGTCTGCAGGAGTAGTGTGGAGTGGAAGAGGGCCAGGCAGAGGGGAGGTGTCAAGTGCAGAGGTCAAGTGCAGCTGAGAGTTGAGGCTTGAGCAAAGGCGGTGGCTGGGAGATTTTGGGACAGTCATACGTGAGAAGTCTGGGAAGATGCCCAGTGCCTGGTAGATGGGGCAAGATGTCACCTACATTTTGGGGATAGAGCAGTAGAACTGTGGCAAGCAGATGGGTGTGACAGGACAGAGGAACAGCGTAGGTAGCCAGGGAGGGACTGCTGGGTAGATGCAGTGGGCAGCAGTGTTAGAGGAGAACTGAACTGAGGACGAGGCCAAGGAGAGAGAGGACCTTCCTGGAGGATGGAGGAGGCCAGTGTGCCCTGTGGGCAGCCTAGGGGCCTAGGAGGGAGCCCTAGAGCTGGAAGAACTGCAAAGGCAGGGAGGAAGGGAGGGCATGTCTTGTTGGCAGGCAGCTGAAGGCCATGGCCTGAGCAGGAGGTGGGAAAAGACTCCCCTCCTGTATGCAGGGAAGGTGGGGATGGGCTGAGCTCAGGAGGAGTATGAGGAGGCTTGGAGGGGAGTAGGTAGAGACACAGACTCTGCAGGGCCCATGTCTGCTGTCAAAGCCAGCTTTGCCTCTGGCATGCTGTGCAGCTAAGGCAGTTGCTTGATGTCTCTGTGCTGGTAGTGAGGGTGCAGCCTGGGGCATGGGCTTGGGGCTTGGTGGGCGGAGGTGGGGAGGATGGGCAGACCTGGGGAGACCACTCACCGGCAGACAGCGCACACGAAGCAGTTGGGGTGGTAAGTCTTGCCGAGAGCCGACACCACCTCGCCCTCAATGAAGCCGTCGCAGCTGAAGCAGCGGGTGCCGTAGAGTCGCTGGTAGTCCTGCGTGCAGATGTGCTCGCCCTGCCGCACGAAGAAGCCGCCCTCGGCCAGATCACAGCCACAAGCTGGGGAGAGGATGGAAGTTGGTCAGCAGCAGCAGGAGGGCCACCCCTCCACATCTACAGCTGTAGCTGGTGGACCTCATTCCTGGTCTCTGGACACAGCCTCGTGCATCCACGTGGGCGGCTCGTCGTACCCAGGGGCAGGCTTCAGCCCTGCCTGGCCTGGAGTTGAATGGACTTTTCTTCCAGAAACTTCTGGGAAGGGGCTGATCCAGGATGAGAACTAGGCCATCCTGAGGGCTGGCCAGCCTCCCACCCTCCCCAGAATAACTGTGAGACTCCTTCATTACACCAAGAATGAGGCACTTGTGCCCCGAGAGCTCCTCCTGATGGCAGCCACTGTGTCCAGCACAGGGCAGGACAGGTGTGTGTGTGGGGGGGGTACCTGAGCACCAGAGCCTGAACCAGGCTCTGTTCTTCTGCCTCTGAAGATCCTGGGGTACAACAGGTGATCCCACGCTTGTCCCCTAGTGCACACAAGCACCCAGACCTCTGGGTCTCCCCATCTCCACAGTCCTCACTCCTGAACCCTACAATATGCCAAGGTCAGGCCCCCGTAGGAGGGACAGAGCCTGTGGACCCCTGCCTGTGGGTCATTTTGTCTCCTCACCACACTTCCTGGAAGCAGGTGCTATGGAGCACTGGAGAAGGGCTGGGTCGCTTGATAGGAGGAAAGTGGAGCACCCACTCTCAGGACAGCTTGCTGGTCACCCCCGCATGGCCCCCCTCCAGCCCAGGGGCATTTGGGAGCCATGCACAGTTTCAGAGAGAGCAGCCTATGACAGTGCACCCTCGCTGGCCCCAGCCCTTCCCTGTTGGGGTACAGAGAAAGCCCCTCGATTCTGCCTAGTGGCCTGACCAGTCCCTGGTCCTGACAGGCTGCTCAGCAGCCCCCAAGCTGGAGTTTTGAAAAACCATGGAGCCCCCACCTTAGGCGGTGAAGCTGTCACCTAGAAGTTTCCACCACAACATTAACTTGTTACAAAGCCTGCAGCTTTTGGGATATGGTAACAGGGGCTGCTTCTGTGAGGCCCACCAGCCACAGACCTGCTGAGGGCCCAGTGGCCATGCTGCCTGCATTGAGCTCCAGGGCCACCTGTGTACCTACCATGTTCTCTGAGCCCAGTCCTTACTGCAAACACAGGATAGTGACCCTGAGTCCTGTGGACCACCATCTACACCCATGGCTGCTGCTGTCATCACTCAGAGAGAGGCCAGAAGCCAGGACAAGCCGGCTCTGAATTCCTTCTCCACACCCAGTCTGGGAACGAAAACCCTGTCTGTGCCTCAGAGCAAGTAGATGTGTTCCCACTGGGAAAAACAGGCCTGCTGGGGCCTGATCTGGGATGGTCACAACATTTTTATGCAAATGCTGCCTGGGCAGCACTTGGGGCTAAGTTGGCTCACTGGTACCTATGGTTCTGGCACTGGGCTGTGTGTCTGCCATCCTAAAGATGCGACAACACTCGTCCTGGAAGGAAGGAGGAAGATGTGCAGTGGCCCTGGTTCCCATGGAACAACGCGAGCCACACCGTGGTCACTATATGAGGAGGGTGACCACAGACAGCTGTTCAGTCCCACCAGCCCCCTTGAGCCTGCAGCGGCGCCTGGCCCTGAGGTGGTCTTGGCTGCTGGTAAGGCTCTGGCTGCCCTGAGGATGCCAAGGTCACTGCCAGGCAGTGAGAACCCAGACCTCTGCCTCCTAAAAATAAAAAGTCCAAATTCACCAGTAACTCTAGAACCCTGATCAAGACAATGCATTGCTATCGTATTACCTTCTGCCACATATCAAATTAACAGACCGCTAACGGCAGGCAGGGGTGTTGGTGACCAGGGCCCATCTTTGGGGAGCACACTGTAGTTATTTATGAGAAATGGCACGGAGGAGTGAGGCTGGGGGGGAAGGAGGGTTTGTGCCACTTTCTGGAATTCCTTTTGGCTAACTGAAAACCAGCTCCTGCCCTTTGACTGCTCTCTCTCTTCTGGGAGTCTGTCAGAAGGAGACGACCTTGAACTCCCACAGAAACTCAGGTCATGTAGTAAATAAACACCTGGCTTTGGAGTTGGACATCCTGGGTTCCCTTTCTTGCCCTTGCCACTTCCCAGCGGTGTGACCCTGGATAAGTCACCTAATCTTCTCCAGGTCACGCTTAGCTGTGACCTCATCTTAATATACTGCGCTTTTTCCAAGGTGTGGTGCATGGAGCCAAAAAGGTGACTGGTTAAAAACACATCCCAAAGTGCAGACGTGGCCCACCTAAGGACCAGGAGAACCAGGTGCAATTTCAAGTTGTTTGTGACAATGGCAACAGCCTTTATTGTGTTTTTAAAGGACCTGCTATGTGCTGCCTGTGCACATATCTTACTACTATTACAGAGCCAGTTCTAATGTCTCTAGGAACCAGACATACTCTCAGGTCCCTCCAGGACACCTTCATCGCCAGCCTCAGTCCCCAAACTCCCTCGGAACCCTCTTCCTCCGCCTGCCCCCGCCCCACTCTGCTCCTGCTGCTCCCAAGGCTGCCAGACCTTGCTTTGGGGCTCCACCCTGGCTGTTCCCCATGGCTGGGGTGCTCTTCCCCACATACGTGAACAACCAACGCCTCTCCTCACCTCCAGGCTTTACTCAGAGGTTATCGCTGCCTTGAGGCTCACCTGACCCCTAAATAGTGCCCCCCCCAGCATTCCTAACCCTGCGGTATCTTGTCCCTTGTCTTCTTCTCCCGACCCCTCCTCATTTTCCAGTAGGTGATAAAACCTACTCACCCATTCTATGTTCATAGAGTGTATTGTTTGTCTCCTGGTCCTAGAACTGACCTCCTAGAGGCAAGGAGGCCTCTGTTTGTGGATATGTCCCAAGTTCTAAGAACAGGGTCTCCCACACAACAGATGCTAACAAATGACCAATTGGTGGATAAATCTTACAGTTGGAAAAATTGGGTTAAGGAATATGTCTAAGGATCACATGAGCTGTGGTGTCAGAGGCGGGATTTGAACCCAGACCTTCAAATGTAAAAGTCAAGACCAAGGATAATTCATTTCTTTCATGGCTTTCTCTCATTCCTGCTTGGGGGCAGGAATGAACCACAACAGGACTCTCTGAATCAAAATTAGACTGAGGTGCACCTGTCTTTCATGTTCACTCCCCTTGCTTTGGGTCATTGTTGACATGCCTGCTCAAGGATGGCCCTGAGTGCTCCAAGTCAATCAGGAGCACCCCCATTCCTCTTTGCCATTGGGGTGAACACGTGACTCAGCTTTGGCCAGTGAGTCATATGGGAAGTCGGTGTAGGGAAGGGGACTTCACGGGAGAGAGAAGCCCTCTGTCTGTAAAAATCTCCCCCAAATCCCTTGCCAGGTTGCATGCCATCCCGTGCAGATGTGATGTTGGAGCTATGGCAGCCATCTTGTGAGGTAGGCATGAGCAGGAATTAGGAAATGTCCTGGGTTGCAGGATTCCATTCTAGAAGTCCAGATGGCCACGGCCTGGGCCAATGATTAAGATAATGGCCCTATATCCTCCTCACACAGCATGTATCCACATCAAGGTCAGACATGTGACTTGAGGGCTGGTGACGGATACATGACCTTCCACTAGCAGGCTAAACCACGAAGGGCAAAGGGGATCAAATGTGCAGGCGTGTGCACATTCATCAGACTATTTGGGGAGAGACCACAAGAGGGGTTCTTGGTTTCTTGTCACTGAGAAACCCTACCCCGTCGAATAAAACTCTAAGCCCCAACAGCTTCTGCTCAGCTGGTCCTCACCTGAACTGTCCTTCACCCCTTGAAGTGCAATTCCCCTGTCCTAACAAATCACTACTTGATAACTTCCTGCTCTTCATGGTCTTTTGCTGTACCAGGGTGGCGTCCTCATCTTAGACATCGTACTCAAGAACCGAGGCACATCTGGATCACCCATCGCTGGTGACTTCTTGTAATCATGAGGATAGCTCTGATGACATGCACAGACAGGATGGGACGTGGGACAGGAGATGGGGGATGGAAAGTAGAGAAGAAGCCGAGTCTTTGATGACCCTTTGTGCTGCGAAGTTGACCAGTCGACTGGGGTGGGGTGGGGTTAACTCCAGACTGCATGCAAACATGATGACTATCTGTGTTGTTGAAGACACTGTGAGACCGACAGGGATCCTCAGTGCTTCCTGAACTGTGTTTCCAATTGCATTTTCATGAGAACCTGGGCCAAAGTCAGCTGAGACTGCAGACCTCAGATTTGAACAAACCCAGCTGCTTTCAAAGCTCGAGGGAGGGCTCAATGACTCAGTCACCCTTCAGCAGGGATTCAGGTCTCCTACTGAGGCAGAGCCCATGGCGTCCTAGGGCTTCTGCAGGCTGTCTAGCTGGCTGTGGGCTGGTCAGGTGGCAGACTTGGAGCCAGGCCTGCACTCCACAGACTCCCACCACCACTGTCACCAACCCATTCTGGGAAGCTGACACTAATGAAGACTGAGTCTCGGAAGAGGGCTGGCACAGCTGGCACTGCCTCACCTCTTGCTGCAGATGGCAAGGAGGGGGGTTTATGGTCATTTCCATCCTCTCAGACCAGGTCACCCCAGGTGACCACTCATCTGGGAGAGCATGCACAGCTTTAGAGAAATCCTTTTAAATAAAGCAGCACTCCCCCTTTGTATTTTATAATGAGCTTTTCGAAAGAGCAATCTAGTGTGCTTTGGTTTTAACAGAAAAGGAGAAAATGTCTTTATGGATAGCTGGGAAATTAAACCAGAAAAATCCCAAGAAGTCATGAGAAACACTAATGTGGGCTGCAGGGGAGATGCCACACGAAGACAAGGGACAAGGGAAGGCAAGGGACAGAGTGACTGGGACAGTGGCCACTTCTGCTCCTCAGGAAAGATCTCCTAGAGCTGATGTGTCCCTTCCTCCTGGGGCCCAAGGCAAGGGACAGGTGGTTAGTGTCCCTGTGAGGTGAGGTGAGGTGAGGCTGCGGCCAGCCCTCCACACTCCACTCTATACTGGCTCCATCGGGCCTGGAAACAGTTCCTTCCAGCACGTTGGGGGTCAGTTGTCCACTTATCCTTATTTCAAACAGTTCTAGGCTGCTATCTAGGATGCTCCTGAGGTCCTGCCATTAAAACTGGGACTCTGGTGCCTTTGTTGGAGCATGGTAATGGAGTCCCTGGGAAGACAGGGTGCCAGGGGAGAGTTCATAAAGACCAAGGTGTCTGGGATGCATAGGGGACCCCTAAATCCTGGTGACCTTCAGTGACATCCCTGATAGCTGCCCATACTCCCAAATGGAGCCTCTGAGGGTCAGGGTTGGGGTCGGCCTTGGCTGGAGTGACCAGAGCCCCTGTCCTTGCAGAAACCGTGGAGCTCCCTGGGAGTCCCAGGGTGGGAATGGAGCTAGCTGGGCTCATTGTTGTCCTGTCAGGCCCCATGTGGCTTCCACGGGATTCTGTCTGCTCCAGAGCTGAGGGCAGCATCAGGGCCTTTCTGATGGCAGAGGAGTCTGGCTGTGATTTTCAGGTTTTCCTGTGAACAGTGAGCTTCTGCATATATCCAGGCTGAGCTCCAGGCCTGAAGCACATGGGGACAGAGCTCCAAGGGGGATGGGGTGGGGGGCTTCACCTGCTACCCTCACGTCCCCTCTACCCCTAGGGGCCAAGGCTCTTCTCCTTCCACCTGGAACAGCACTGCTGCTGCTGCTGGACTTACAGCCAAACACTACCCTCCTGTGAATACCTTTCTGGAAGTCTCTGGATCCTCCCCTGGGGACCCATCTCTCCCAGCACTCCGTTCTAGCATGAGAAGTTAACCAGAGGCTCACACCTATAATCCCAGCTACTCAGGAGGCAGAGATCAGGAGGACTGCGGTTTGAAGCCAGCTCAGGCAAATAGTTTGTAAGCCCTTATCTAGAAAAAACCCATCACAAAAAAGGGCTGGTGGAGTGGCCTGAGGTGTCGGCTCTCTGATGGCCCAGGAGGACGTCGCAGCAAATCCCAGGGACATGCCACACACCTGTCAGTTTGGGCTGTGGTTTACTCACCCATCCCTCCCCACAAGCACTGCTTTCCTTACTTTTCTAAAAGCTAAAAGCAGGTGCAGTCAGTCCTGTTTGTGCACACAGAGAATAGGACAGAAGGAGATGGCTCAAGGCCTGACCACCTCGGGGAGGGAGACTTCACAGGTCTTTTTTTTTCCTTTTTCTTTTTCCCATCTTTGGATATTATTTGAATTTAGCATATTACTTTTGTTACTTTTACAACCGGAGAAAAATTAGTGACTTTCATTTAGAAGGAAAGGCAATGCTTTCCCTGCTATGGTGTGTGTGTGTCGGGGGAGGGGTGGTCAATGCTGACCCAACAAGCCCCACGTCCTCAACACTGCTGAGTTGCATGGCCAGCAGTGACATTTGCCCTTCTGGCAAACAAGCCCAGCTGGCTGCTTTGCTTTGGCCACAGGATTGGAAGTCTCCAGTAGCAGGAGGACCCTCGCCACTGGGACGGGAGCCTTGCCCTGCAGGCCTATTCTGCCTCAGCAGGTTCCTCACACAAATGTCATAGGCCACACTGAAAAGGTAACACTACTTATGAAGATTCTGGACTCAGACTTTTCCAGTATTCCAGACCTAACCAGAGCTTCCCAGGCTGCCCTGCAGGGTCCACAATGGTAGCTGGGAGGCCCGGTTCTGAGGCCACACTGCAGTGCCATCTTGCGGCCACCATGGCCTGTGGGACCCACAGAGAGAGGACTCACCTTTGCAGACGAAGCACTTGATGTGGAAGTACTTGTTCTGCACACGCAGAACCTCCCCTTTGCACACGTTGCCACAGGTGTTGCACAGGATTGCCGTGCTGGCGGCTTCTCCAGGGGGCGTGGGCAGCCTGGGGCTGCGACACTGTGGGAAGAAAGGAGCCGTGTTAAGTTGGGGAGAATGATCCAGGCCTAGGAGAAACCCCAATCGTGCCCCACCAACACCTATCCCACAGGACATCCAGGAATGGACTGTGGTCTCTTTTTACCTGGGAACAAGTGACAGTCAGATCGTATGACAGGTGACAGCCTGAGGGAGAAGTCCACCTGCTCAGTGGAAATGTGGGCATCTGTCTGCAGCAGTCCTCCACAGTGAGAAGTCCTGTCCTGTCTCTGCAAACACAGCTGTGGCATCCTGTCCCCTGTCTCTGTGTGCATAACTATGTTGACAAGGCCATCACTGCCCCCTCCTGAAGGACATCAACACCCGCTGCCTCCACCTTGAGGGACCTTGACCCTCCAGGATCTCAGAGGCCACCCCTTCCCCTTCACCAGTTCAGCAGCCCCTCAGCACCAGGGAGCAGTGTCCCTTCAGCAAATATGGCAACCAGAGTCATCGTGGGCACTGCTTCACATTTCCTGGAACACTGACATAACTGGAGTACTGTTGTTGCCCCCTAAAGCCAGCCTGGGCATGGGTTGTTTAAAAAGCATGAATGGAAGAATCAGGATAGGTGTTACTGTGGGCCCAGGACCAGATAGGACCATCAGGCCTCACCCATGTCCTCCTACAGCACCAGCAGAGGTCAGTGCACAGGACACTGGAGGCTACTGCAGGGAAGCCCTGGGTTTTCCCCTCTCCAGTCCTGTAGTAGTGACAACCAGGTAAAGCAACAGTAATACCCAGGTGGCAGAGCTGGCCTCAGGGAAGCTCTCCCAGGAGAACTGCCTGAGTTTTGAAGTATGAAGTGGAGATGGTTAGCTGGAACTGCTGCAGGCCTAAGGCACAAGGCAGCCATGCAGGGACCTGAGAGGCACACAGCAGCCACGAGGGTCTGTAGCTGGGAGGGAGGAGCCGGGCTGCAGTGACCTCACTGAGAAAGGCCCAATGTTGTCAAAGATCCTTAATATCAGAGAACATTTGCTGGTGAGGTCAGAGGAGACACACTGTGCAAGGGATCAGACAGGTAACGTTACTGGCCTTGATGAAAGAAGGACTGAAAGCCAAGGAATGCTGGCACCTCCAGAAGCTGCAAGGTGAAGCAAGGCTCTGCCTCAGCCTGCAGAAGAAGTCAGCCTGCTGCCTCGACTTCAGTCAGGAAGACGTTGTCAGACTCCTAACCTCAGCACTGTACAGTCCTGACTCTGATGTGTGCGGCCACACAGCTTGTGGTCCTGTTACAGCAGCTGCAGGGCACTCTTATGGCAGTCATCCTTTGTGTGGAGCGCAGGGCCCAGGCATCCAGCCCCACCCTACAGCATCCATTCTGCCCAATGACCCACACATTGGTGGGCAGGATCCACCACCAATGGCAGCTGTGCCATGGGGCTTCCCTAGGGGCAGACCTGTGCCCAGAGCCTCTGACGATTGCATGGCTCCATCCAAATGATCTCACTGGAAGACTGAATGCATGATGATGGCCACACAGTCTTGGCCAGCAGCCACCTGCAGGGACTCTGGTCCCTGTCTCCCACCCAGCTTGCTACGGTCAGTCAAGCAGGAGAGCAGACACTACCATCCTCAGGCACAGCCAGACCCAGCCCTGTACGCATGGGTCCGAAGCAGCCAGGACTTGATCCCTGACCATGGCTGCCCTGACTTTTGCCCCTAGGGACACCTGCTTCTAGGGGGCACCTCGGCTTCCCAGGCACATAGCCTCCCTCAGGTGCACCTGAGCCTCTCTGTTCTGTGCCACTTCCCTTTACAGGAAGGACTGTGTAGATCCTGTCCAGCCTGCCCATCTGCCCCAGAGCCAAATGGCCCAGAAGCCACTGGTCTGATTAGGGCAGGCAGGACTTCTGTCCTCTGCAGACCCTGCTGTCCAATGGGAGGCTGACAGTGGGCAGCATGGAGGAGGGACCCGCATCACTCTTGGGCCAGCAGCCTTCCAAGGACAGGGATTCTGGATAGCCCAAGGGCAGTGGGTGCCAGCTGCCTGGGGACAAGGGCAGAAAATCAACCTGGAGAAGCAGGAAGGGGTCAGTAGATAAGTGTCAGAGCACCTGGGGCTCCAGGGTCCACTCCTGCCTTGTGTGTCAAGACTTCAGGAAATTGAAGAGTAAGCTGGACATGGTGCAGATCCAGCTGGGGTCCCTGTTGGCCTCGCTGCAGCCTTGGGAGGTATGGTGACATTTTTCACCATGGGGCAAGTGTCCACAGCAGTTTGCCCACTGTCCTTACCCTACAGAATCATGGCAAAAACACCTCATCCATTACTACACAGAGCTGGTGGAGGACCAGAGAGCCAGGACTTCCTGGGCAGGACTCAGATGCTCAGTGTTGGCTAGGGCTGACCTGTGATTGGAGACCTCAGGTGGCACTTGCTCACGTCTGTGCACAGTGAGCCCGAGCTCCTTCCTGTAAGCGGCTTCTTACTGAGTCACCCCAGTCCTGTCTGAGCCTAGAGATGCAGGGAGGGGTGTAGCTCTTCAGAACTGTTATGTTCTCATCTCTTAGGGACACAAAGGACAACGTGCCACCCTCCTTATAGTCAGATAAGGCAGGGTTTATAAGACTGGAATCTGTCTCACTACCAGGGTGAGGGAAACATCAGATCCCAAGGGCAGTATGGACTGTGGGGGCAGATGGCCCAAGATGCAGCATCCACTCCACATCCAAAAGGTCGTGACCTCTAGGGAGTCCAGAACACCTCCCTTCTCTCAGTCTTTCCATTTGTCCTGCCCACTTACCCACCCCTCCTCTGCTCATATTACCTGGCCCTGGGGAAAGCTAGGACTGCAGACACAAGTGTTTACCCAGAAACCAGCCTAGCAAACAACACATGCTCCACAAACAGTGACACTGCTATTTTCAAGAATGCATGGGCTCTGGGGGTGTGGCTCAGTGGTAGAGCACTTGCCTACCATACACACCAAAATGCCTATGGCCTGACATCACCAGTTCCAAGGTTTCTGGAAATACACTCGAGATAGGGCAGAGCTACTCTAAGAGCATCAATTTTCTTGGATGGCAGAGTGGGGGTTGTGTGTGTGTGGGGTGGTGGGCGCCCTGCTTCCCTGGAGCAGTCTGCAGTCTCCTAGGCCTTAGGCTGTGGGTTTGTGGCAGTGGTGCTGCCCTCTGGTGATGGGAAACAGACACTGCACTATGAGGACTGCCACAGCTCAGCGCAGGGACCTGGAGCCCCTGCAGGTTCTTCTTCCAGCTGTCTTCCTGTGCAGGTGGCCCTGTGGTCACAGGTTGGTGAATCACTGCAGATTTGCGGTGTGGGTTTTTTGCCCCCCAAGAGGGATTCACACCTAGCACCTGCTGTTGCTGTTGATTTGCAAGGTCAGGTTCACTCTCGGAGAGGCCTGGGGAGTGGCAAATCCCTCTTACTTCCCCCTCCTGTCTGTCATCTCCTGATGGTCAGTAGTGACACACATAATGGTGGTTCCCAGAAGGAGGCTGTCCTCAGGGCAGAAAGCAGAGTACTGCCACCAGGCCACTGCAGAGATAAACTACGCTCAGAGAGGGGACGCTGCTATGGATGGAGGGTGGAGGGTCAGGGCCAGTGTGGGGTGGTGCCCAGAGTCTTCTTCATGCAGCCATAAGACAAGACAAGGCCTTTCAGACCAGGCTGTCCTGTGAGATCTGGATCCCATGTTCTGGACAGGCAGCAGCAACCTCCAACTGTCCATGCTACCCACAGTGTCCTTTGGGGGTGCAGGAAGCTGGATGCTTACAGAAGACAGGGTCCCCAGGATGCAGGGGCTGGGTGTGGCTCATTTAGCTGACCTAAAACTGCTCCAAAGACAGAAGTGCCTGAAGTCAGCCTGTACAAGCTGTTCTTGAAGGTCAAAAACAGCCTGGCGGTCGGACAGTGCACAATTGCTGGAGAAAAGCAATCTTTCCAAATAATAAATTAGCTCTGAACAAAGCTGCAAGAGCACAGGCGCCTCCCAGGGTAGACTGTCTCCTGTCCTCCCCACTCAGCAGCTCTGGGTCAGGATACAGGCTTTGTGTACAGTGGTCAGCCAGGGAAACCGGGGAAAAGATCACTCCACTTCCTTTTTTCAACAATCTGAGCTCTGGCCCCAGTGGGTCATGCAGCCATCGTGGCCCACCTCACAGGTGAGGAACCTGAATCTGAGAGCAACTAAGTGGGTCCAGGTAAGCCAAGCTCCTACACATGACTGCACCATGCCAGGGGGCTGCACGGTACTGCTGAGCCCACACAAGGGTCCAAGATACAGGGGACCCAGGAATTTCATTTTATTAATGGCTTCAACAATTCTGATTAACTCTCAGGCATCGTAATTGGAAGTTACCACTCCCAACAGCAAGAGCCAGCCTGGTCAATGTCCCCCACGACTGTCTCCTCCAGTGGGTTTGGATGAGTGCATGCTGGGGACCAGGCCATGGCTGTCGCAAGGAGCCTGCATTTGGGGAAGGAGGGATGGGACATCTGAAGACTTGGAAGACCACACCCCTAGCTGGAGTCCAATTTGGGAGGGAGGGAGCTTCGCAGGGCTGGAGGGTGGTCCCTGCAGCTCTTTCAGAGCCCAGGGTGGGCAAGAATAAGGAGTGAGAGCAGTGGACAGTGTGAATACTTGCTGTGTCTTCCAGAATGTCTAACCAGGTATTAGTAGGCCTAGTTTCATCAGAAACATCCACCTAACCACAGGTCACTTCACTGCTGCTCATCTGCACACAACTTCCTGTGACTGTAAACCTCCAGTGTTCCTCCCTGGGCTCCAGGCCCCAAGGATCCTGTCACCTGGAGGCTGTCCCCCAAGCCTGTGCATCATTTGTGGACACAGGAAGTCACTCTCACCTTCTCCATAATCCCATTAAGAGCCACCTGCTGTGCCCCTGCCTCTGGGAAGTTCTCTGGGATTTCCCTTAGGCTGACAGAGCCTTCTCCTCTTCACGTACACACCTGTGCAGGAGGTCTGCATGCTGGATAGTCACGGCCACCTGCCTAT